GTTTATTTGGCAGCACTGGGCCTTGGTTGTGGCGTATGGGATCTAGTTCCCTCCCAGGTCCCCTGCATTGGGAGCATGGAGTCTTAGCCACTGGACTACCAGAAAGTCCCTACCATTTAGTCTTTAGATAACAAAGAATTCCGTGGGACTCTGAGTTTGAAGAGTAACTAACATAGCCAGAGCAGAACACGATGACTGGTGGCCTGTTTGATGAACTGTGAGAAACTCTGGGTTGTAGTCTGACTATGCCTCCCTTCTGCAACTTCATTCCCACTCATAAATGTCCAGTTTCTTAGATGTTTTAAGACAGAGCAGCCAATTCATGTTAAGAGTGGTAAAGCAGGTAAGGAAATGAGAGTGATGAGAATTTAGGCTCTATCTAAAGGGAAAAAACAATATTCAGTTCAGCATGATTGTTGCCATGTGATGACCAAATGTAGCTTTAAATAAACAAACACGTCATGTGGGATGAATAAAAGATGTCTTTCTGGTTGTTTCGATCTCTACTTTAAGTCACACATGCTGTGCTAAGGCATATCCAACTCTTTGTGGCCCTATGGACTGTAGCCTGCCAGGCTCTTCTGTCCATGGAACTTTCCAGGCAAGAATATTGGAGTGGGGTGCCATTTCCATTCCAGGGAATCTGTCCAACCCAAACATCGAACCCATGTCTCTTGCATATCTTGCATTGGCAGGCAGATTATTTACTGTTAGTGCATCCTGGGAAGCTGCATCTCCCAAAAGTGTATGTGTGTTGGTCGTTCAGTCATGTCAAACTCTTTGCGACCCCATGGACTGTAGCCCACCAGACTCTGTCCATGAGATTCTCCAGGCAAGAGTACTGGAGTGGGTCACCATTCCCTTCTCCAGGGGATCTTCCTGACCCGGGGATCGAACCCAGGTCTCCTCATTTGAGGCAAATTCTTTACCATCTGAGCCACCAGGGAAGCCAAACAGGTAGGGGTAAAGTCACGCGGGTGTGTTTCAAGAAAGCCAAGTGATGAAGTGTCTTAAAAAGGAGGAAGTGGCCAATAATGTCAAATGCTGCTAAACAGATGAGAAGGACCGACAAATGACTATCGTATTTGGTGAAATGGTCATCAGTAACGCCCTTTGACAGGAGCAGTTTCAGTAGACTGGGGGACAGTGGGTTGAAGGGAGAATGGGAGGTTGGAGATAGCGCCCTAGACTTGTCCAAGCAGCTTTGCTATAGAGGGAAGCAGAGAAATGGGACAGTAGCAGGAGATGGGGATAACGGAGATACTAGATTATTACGTGTAGAAGATATTTCATTTGCACTGTATTTTCCTCCATGATTACCAACTGTCTTTTGGTTTCATTTATAATATATTCTGCCTTTAAAGAGGTTCAAGATTTCATGTACTTACTTTAAGATTTTTAGACTTCCTCCCTTATTTAAATGCCTTTCCCATTTGAGGATTAAATGAATATGCTTATCTCCTTCAGATTCTTGTATTTTATTTCTTAACATTTGGATTTTATTTTTATATATGATGTAAGATAAAGATCTTACTTAGAAAAAAAAAGATCTTACTTTGTTTTCTTCTAGACATATGTCAATATAACAACTTTTTTAATTAAATAATCCATTCATTTACCACTGAACTGGAATGTTATTTTTATAACATAGTATGTTCACACACTTATATGCATTTCTGAACTCTGTATTCTGGTTCACTGATAAAGACTCTTTATCTTAGTCTCAACTTTATTGAGTTGTGACTAAGCTTCCTCTATGTCCCTGAAAAAAGCTATATAGACTCTGTTAACTTTTATTTTCTTATCAAAAAATGGTAGTAAAATACATTTACCATAAAATTTACCTCAATCATTTTAAGGGTATAGTTCAGTGATATTAAATGCATTCCTAATGTGTGCAACCATCACCATTATCCATCTCCGTAACTCATCATCTTGTGAAAGAGAGACTCTATCCTAAATTAAACAGTAACTGCCCATTCTCCCATTTCTCCAGCACCTGACAACTACCATTCTACTTTCTGTCTCTATGATTGTGACTATGATAAGTAACTCACATAAGTAGAATCACAGTATTTGTCTTTTTATGGCTGGCTTACTTCACTTCACATAATTTCCTTAAGTTCATTCATGTCGTAGCATGTGTTAGAATTTTCTTTCTTTTTTTTCTTTTTTAATTTTTTTTCCTTCTTGTAGCCTACCAGGCTCCTCCATCCATGGGATTTTCCAGGCAAGAATACTGGAGTAGGTTGCCATTTTCTTCTCCAGAAGAATTTTCCTTCTTGTTACAGCCGAGTAATACCCCATTGTACATATAGATATACCACATTTTGCTTATCTAGTCATCAATTGTCCGTGGACTTTTGGGCTGCTTCCACATGCTGCCAAGAACATGGGTATACTAACAAATATATCAAGATCCTGCTTTTAATTTGTTGATCTAAACAAATTATACCCAGAAATTTATCTAAACAAATTATACCCAGAAATGGAACTGCTGGATAATATGGTAATTTTATATTTAATTGTTTTTAGAAACTTCCTACTTTCCACAGGGGCTGTACCATTTTACATCCCCACAAACAGTACACAAGGATTCCAACTTCTCCACGCCCTTGTCAATACTTTGTTTTGTTTTTGATAGAGGCTATCCTAATGGGTATGAAGTGGTATCTCATTATATTTTTGATTTGTATTTGCCTAATAGAATCTATTGGGCTTCCCAGGTGGCACTAGTGGTAAAGAACCCGCCTCCCAATGCAGGAGACTTAAGAGACACAGGTTTGATCCCTGGGTCGGGAAGATTCACTGTAGGTGGGGGCATGGCAACACACTCCAGCATTTTTGCCTGGAGAATCCAGAAGACAGAGGAGCCTAGCGGGCTACAGTCCATAGGGTTGCAAAGAGTCAGACATGACTGCAGTGACTTTGCACGCACACACAATGGAATCTATTAGCTTTTACATTAAAATAAATTTGGGTTAATTTTCCTTTTAAGAGAAATGGAAGACAACCCTTGAAATGAATGGAAGCACTCTGGGTTTTGCAAAACTGCTATTAAAAATCTTTTATTTAACCTCTTAACAAGGTGAAGAAATGACTTATGAGACTCGGGTTTTTTGCCATCAGTGACCACCAATGGAAAAAGATACATATATATATTTTCCATAATTATTTAAGGACTCTGGATATTAATGGTGTACCTAAATTAGCATGCCAACAAACTAGCTAATGAGCTATTAATAGTATACCTAAAATGCACCAACAAAACAAAATTTGTGTGCATGAGATTATATGAGTGAATGAAATTAGTGCTAGTTTGTAAAGTGTAATCCATTAGGCAAGATTGAAAAACATCTGTAAAGGACTGATCCTTAATATCTTTGTTGTGTATCAATTTATAAGTAACAAAGGTTTCCATACACAGCATGGAATCATGTGATTCTTACAAAAATCCTGGGAATTCAGCTGAGCTGTTATCATTATCTCAGTTGTTTACAAATGCAGAAACAGGCTTACTTAAATCAAGTAGCTAGCCCTGGGTCACGCAGCGTGTGAGTGGCTGAGATATTTTAAGAATACACAGTTTGGTGAAGAGGGAATCGGTTATAACCCACGTAAACGCGGAGCCTGACACACAGTTTAGCACATAGTGCAAACTCACTGTATATTTGTTGAATGTACAAATATGTCTTATGAGCCTGTTTCACAGTTCTTTCCATTAGACTATGTAACCCCATATCATGAAATCAAATTCTTAACAACTGAAATCAGTTGGGGCAGAGTGGGACTGGGCATAAGAGGCAGGGATTACTCCCAGAAGAATGAGGAAACTGGAGATGGAGGCAGCAGCTTCTGGAAATGTCAGTGTTTATTAAACATTAAAGGACATTTGGGGGGTTTGAGAAGAAATATACAGGATGTAGAAAAACCCTAAGAATCCCCTGTGGCTGGGAGTGCAACCTCTTCCCTTTCCCCCTATTTCCCATTTGTTTTTTCTACTTCTTCTTTGGTTATTTAAAAGCTATTTCTTAAGGCTCATTTGCCCCTTCCTCAACTCCTGACCCGTGCGGATCCTTTGTCTCCGTCTCTCCATTCCTGTGACCTTGAGTCCCAGAACAGTGCTCCAGAGTAGTCAGGGGGCGCCATTCCTGTAGCTGAAGTTTGAGGATCAGGAGCTCCTCTGCTCGGGCTGGCTCTCCGTTAAGGATTTAAAGGGGGGGGCGGTGGTGGTGAAGAATTGCAAAAGCCACATGACGTCATTGGTACTCAGTCATGGGGGAGGGGAGAGCATGGGCACAGATAAACAAATGAAGAAGAACGGATTAAAAAATAAAAAATAACTAACAACCTAAATAAACCCTGAAGGACAGTCTGATCTGGGTGACCTGGGTGTTAGCTGGGAGGGTAGAGTATGGAGCTCGACCACCTGAAGGAGGAGAGGGAGGGTCAGAAAGGAGAGAGTCAGAAGGACAGGCTAGCTGGTGCAGGCGATCGAAACGTCAGGTGGCCTGGATTTGAGGCAGGGGTATCAAGGTCCCTTTCTTCTCGGCACCAGAGGAACAGGCACCAAACACGCAGTCCTTGGGGCAAGTGAAAGACAGGTAGGGGACTGGGCTTCCAGAAAGCCAGGGGTGAAAGAGGGGGAGCATATGAAGTGCCTGGGTAACGGAGTCTGGAATGAAACTTACATCTCAAAAGGAAGTGAGGGCAGGGCAGGGCTGGGGAGCTAAGGAGGAAAGCACCTAGACGGGGGATAGAGGACCGGAGGTCCCCCTGCTCTGGCAGGGCCTTGGGAGGGGGGGTGATCACTTTTCTGAGTCCAGGCCCATCATGTTCTTGAGGGCGTTCTTGAGGCTGGTTCTGCTGGGGGACTTGACAGCAGGCCGGAGCTCCGCGCCCTGCTCATCCTTCCGTAGCTCCATCTCGATGACCACCACCCGAGCGCCTTTGGAAACCTCCGCCCCTAACTCCCGACCCCCCGCCCGGCCCGCTAACCGCTATTTCTTATCCTTGCGAGACTCCCCCAACCCTTTAGCCTTCTTCTCACTGGCAGCTTTGGTGCTTCTGCTGTGGTCCAGCATGGCATACAGCACCGGCGTCTGCGGGGAGGAGCGCATGCATCAGGGACCCGTCCGGTAGGGCCTGACTGTTCCCAGCCCGCCCTCGACGGCTGCCCGGCGGCTTCCCAAGTCCCGCTAACCTGCCGGCCGCGCTTTGAAGAGTCCTTCGCAGCCTTGTGCAATTTGCCCTTCTCCATGGCACTGCAGGGAAAGGGGGTGCTGTGGATTTGGCGGCTTCCTCTTCCCTTTGGCCCTCCCACCCTTCCAAGTAGTCTCCGCCCAGAGGCGGGGAGCAGTGGGCTGGGGAAGGGGTGTCGGGCTCCGCCCTTTACCTGAGCCTCCTCTGCAGGGCCGCCTGCCTTCGGAGCCAGCAGTACCGAATCAGGTAGAAGAGCAGCAGCGCCAACAGCACAACCCCCAGGACGCCCCCGATCACGGCTCCCAGCACCACCCCGTACCTAGTAGGCACTAAACGCGGGCAGGGAAGGAAGTGGGGCAATGAGCAGAGACAGATCTCTCTGGCTCCTAGCCACACACCTATTCCCTGCGGCTGGGGATCGAAGATATCCCAACAAGGCTGCCTTCTGCCCACTGTCCCAGAGCCTGAGGGGCATTAGCCCGGGCATTTTGCCCCTTGCCCCAGCCTCTCAGCCAGGCCTGATCCCCTCTCTGAACTGCCTCCCATACTCCCGTCCCACCTTCTCTCACACCTTTTTCAAAGACATAGAGCGTGACCTGAGAGGTCTTGCCCACTATGTCTGGTGGGTTTTTGACGTCACAGGTGAAAGTGCCGTTGTCACTGTAGTCCAGGTTGTGGATCACAATGGAGCCATCCTTCCGGTAAGGGTCCCCTACCCACTGGATGCGCTCTTTGAAGGTCCCCACCTCATCGATGTAGGGCTGTCCCTTGGCATAGTGGAAGATCTGTGAGGAATGAGAGGAAGCATGCACCTGTCGCTTCAGGGTGAAGGATTCTGGGCTAGAGAGGGTAGGGCTGGGGAGGGACCGTCGGTATTGGTAGGTCCCAGTCAGGGTGACAAGACTTGCACCTTACCTTGCCAAAGTTGGGCTTATGGCTCATAAAGGATTGCTCCCTCCTTAGCCCAAGTTCTCTTTCCTGTGGTTGTCTGAGGCCCCCTGTCTGTTACGAAATCCCAGTATTCCCCCGGCACTCACCGAGATGGCATCACGGCCCCCTTCGGGCTGGTAGCGCCAGGTGAAGGAGAGGTCATCTGAAACCCACTCGCTGGACCAGAAGGAGCAGTACAAGGTCACCTGGGAGCCCACGGCACCGTGGACCTCCTTGTCCGTGTAGACCACAATGGCCTGGACAGGGGAGAGCGCTGCAAACAGAGGGGAAATCAGATGCACGTGTGGGCCCAGCAAGGAGTATAGAAGGAGTGAGACCAATGGGAAGTCAAGCCTGAGTCACAGACCATAGCGAAGACTGGGGCAAAAAGGATGAATTCTGAGGCCCAGGGCTCTCCGGACTAACTGAATAGATGAGTAGAAATACTGTGTTGGCTCAAGTTCTTCAGCATGTTTGACAAAGGAAATAAAACCAGCAGTACCAGAGTTCTCCGGGGGACTTTCAGACGTTGGATTCAGGCTCCAGAGTCTTACTTTGCCTTTAGATCAGTATCTAATTCTTAAGCTATCCCTTAGATGAAGGCTTAATGATTTTTAAGACTTATTATAAATTATACAGGTAACACCTTGTGCATTCTTCTTATAACTATGCAAGCAGTATAGATAAAGAAAGCTAAAGTCTGTTTTGACAGCTCCCAACCAATTCCTTCTTCTGTGGTCTCCTTCCAGACAAAACCGATATTATCAGTTTAATGTGTAATCATTTTCTATGTATCAGACTCAACATAAACTCAAGATAAACATTTATAAGAAATAGTTTTATGAAGCTTTAAAAAAAACATATATTGCATTACAGTCTACTTTTTTCCTTAAGAATATACATATATAAAAGAATACAGGTGTCTGGGAGAGTATTCCACATTGATGCCTAGAGATCAATATTATTGCTGCATAGTATTTCATAGAATGGAAAACTCAAGTTTCTTGCAGAAAAGATGAAGATAACTAGACACTGTAAGTCTTTTTCCCTGACCCAACTGTCCTCATTGCTGAATCCCTACTTTCCGTACAATTGCTCCTGACAGGAAGGGTCAGGGAAGGGAGGACCTCATACCCCTCTCAGGGGAAGCTGGATTCAAGCAGGAAACCCCTGCTGCCCCCACCCCCAAGCCCAAAACTCAGATGACTCTGCTTGTGAGCCTTCTGTGGTTCTGCCTTGACCCTCCTCACCCTCCTTCTGGCCATTCTGGCCCAGTGCCACTCCCAAGACTCACCCATACAAGGAAGGCCATTCCAGGGAGATTATGTGTGTGGGTTGGCCCTGGCTGGGGGCAACTGTAGACCCTTTTGTTCTTTGGGAGGGGGAGGAAGCAACCAAATAAATAGAGACCCATTGTCTGACCACCGAGCAGTGTTAGGGGCTTATGCCTCCTTTCCCCTTCCCCCGGCCCCATCCCCAGCTCCACACCTCAGTATGCAATACCAGTGATTCACCTCCTGGAACTCAGCCTTAGCACCTTCTGGGGAATCCCAAATGTAACAAGGAAGGTTATTCATTGGATCTAACTTCTATTCCTCCTGTTCAAGTATCAACCACTGCCCTTCAGCTCTGTTCAATGGTTCTATGAGTAGGGCAGATGCTGGACAGTAAGTACCCTTTCTCCCTCTTATACTCCAAGATTCCCTCTCCTCATTTCCCTCGGCATGCCCTTCTCCAATTCCCTATCCTTAACATTTTCTCAGGGTACCTTCAGATAGTCCAGTACAGCCCAGAGGAGTCTGGATTCTGGGTTTAGCCCTAGAGGAGCTGACAGCAGAAAAACTCAGACATGCTAACCAGCTCTTCCTCCCCACTCTCTCCCATTTGCCCTACTTCTCGCCTGTTGCACCAGGCTTCAGGGCAGTTTGGAGAGGGGAGGGATCCATTCAGATAACCCTGCTTTGAGTTTTTCTTGCTCAGCCAGCAACTGCCATGGGAGGGGTTGGCCAGCTTCTGTGGAAGATAGCTTTAGATGCAACAAGACCCTAGAATCTCACGGACCTCCCTTCTACTGTGTCCACCCACATGATGGACAACAGATGCACAGTGAGAAACTGAGGCAGCAGATCCAAAGAGCTGGGACCACAACCCTTGGGCTCCACCTTTAGATCACAGTCCCTGACTCTTTTCTTTGGGGAGACGAAGGTTAAGTTACCTCCTACACTACTAAGGAATGAGAAGGACCAGTTTCCAATGCCTATCCAGTCAAGTCCACCTTGGGGGAACCCTCTACACTCTAGTCTCCCTCCTCCCTTCACAGAATACCTTTATCTTAACAGCCTTTCTCCAAACTATATGTATATATATTTTTCTACAGAAAATATCACTTTCCTGCTCTTGCTCCCTCTTTGATTGCAGAGGGGAGTGCGGCGAAGGCCATGGGAAGGTTGCTGAGAGACAACCTGAGCCCCAGGGCCCCCAGACTGGGTCAGCTCAACTTACCCAAGGAGGAGAAGAGTAGCGCAGCCAGGATAGGACTGGGGCTGGATGAGGGAGCCCCAGCAGCCATCGCTGGGGCTGGGCTAGGGCCCAGAGCGCCTGCGCAGTTGGGAGAGTGGGGGACAAGGAACTGAGCGGGGGTTCCTGGAACCCGCTTAAAATCCCCCGGGACCCCAGTGTGAGGGGGCTGTCCTGAGCCAGTAACCAATTGCAGCCTGGCATGTGCAGTTGAGAGGTGGTGGGGAGCGGGGCAGAGTGCAGGGAGCAGAAGTGGCATTGTGTCCTCTGGGTGGAGGGGTTGGGGGTCACATACCACCTCACACACTGAAGGCTTTGTGTCTGCTGGCCTCCCCCTGCCCTAGGCTGGAATGTCATGTGGTGGGGGGTGAAGGAGAGGGACAGAAAAAGGGACACAAACACATTTCTCTGAGGAACAGATGGGCAGGAGAACCTGAATCTTAAACCTATGAAAAGGGATTTTTCCATAGTCTCCTTGCCTGAGAGTGGCTCCTCTAGAGCCCCGGGAGCTAGCTAGCCCCAGAGAAATTTGAAAACAGGATATCCCTACTATCTTGACTACTGTGGGCTGCAATACAGGCTTCTTGAGATGACCAAGTCCTTTGGGAGTCTTCATTTTTTTTTTTCTCCTTCATCTCTCTGCATCTGGGGTGATTCTTTCCAGATAAAACCTTTTCTCCATGGGAAAATATCCAGGGGATAATCCTCTGATCTTTCCCTCTTTCTCAGGAAGCTCTTCACTGCCTCAGGCTGCAGTTTACGTCCATTTCAGTTAAGAGCAAGGCAGCAAAATCACATTGAGCTCCAGCTACATAGATGAGTATGTGAGTATGTGGGTAGCTGAGTAATAGAGAGAGGAATAAAAATTAAGATCTTCCTTCAAGGAGTTCAAAATTTAGTTTGGGGAAGCAGAGAGGGGAGAATCAGAGGACAAACCCATTAACAATGAACTATAATAAACCATGATGCTTGGTATAGTAGCATGATGAACAAACTGCCAAGAGTATAAAGAGGGCATGCAGAGCTACATTAGGAAGATTAAGTTGTGTAACAGATATTAAACACAAAAATAACTTTCATTTAATAAATGAAGTTCAGAGGAAGGGGGAGTCATGTCTAGAAGTCAGTATTAGATGCAGACCAGCCTTTAAGGAAGCATTGCGTTTTGAAGAGGAGAAATTGGCAGTGCAGATATCTGGGAAGGTAGAAGAGCAAGAGCAAAGACAAAGAGATAAGAAAGCGTGTGTGTGTGTGTGTGTGTGTGTGTGTGTGTGTGGTGTTGGGTAGATTTGTGAAGTTTGGGGAATATTCAGGGCAGGTCTGGTGCCCCCCATTTTGACATGACATGGGGGATCTTGAACAGGTATCACAGGAAAGGAGGCTGCACACGAAAGCTGAAGCCAGTTTGTGGAGGGCTTTAAATGACAGACTAAAGGGGGTGGATTTAATTTGGTACATCATAAGAATCTGCTGAAGGTTTGGGGTTGGTATTTGGGGATAGGAACGGGGGTGTCTATATAGTCAGAGCTGAGTTTTAAGACAGATAAGTGAAACTATTTAAAGAGCTAAGTGAAAAAGACACTCATTGGATTTGTTAATATGAAACTTCAGAGGGCCAATGACTGGAAGATCAATAGCAGAAAACGCTAACATAACCACTTCCTAAAGACTAAATTGCTTACTAAATGAAACCTGCTTTTTTGAGATACCCATTAAGGAATACTTAAAGCACAGTCTTGAAGATCAGCTGTCAGCTGTGTTACAGAGGAGATTCCTGAACTAGATAGAAAAGCAAGTTGGAGAGCCTCAAAGGTCTCTTCCAAACCAGAAGCCTATTAAAGTGCTTTCTTTGCCAGCATTAGAGAAATGCAAAATAGTATTTTCATTTGATGCAGAAATAAGTGAATCTCTGCTATGTAAGTCCAGAAAGGAAAAGCACAGGAGTGCTAAATATGAATAAGATCTGAATATTAATGTAATGAATATGTTTTTGTTATAGAACAGGAGTTGCTCTGGGCTGCTGTCTCCTTCACTTCGCCTCACCCCACCTCCTCGAAAAGGGCTCAAGAGCTTTTTCTCTCTTCCATTCCTTGCCAGTTGTTTGTTTCTCCCTTAAGTCATAGTTCTCTGGAAGTGACTGCTGCGCTAGGTTTCCTCAAAACTGCTTTCCCGCATACAAATCAAAGCGAGTTCTCCCCCACCCTCACCCCAGGTTCTTCTGGCAGTGGGTGTCGCCCACATAGCCCTGAAACAAGGAACAAGGGAGCGCTGTTGTTAGTGGGCATCTAGCTCATGTGGCAGCTCAAGGCCAGGAATTGTGAGACATAAAGCTCATGGAGGTGGTTAGAGGATGCTTCCCATCCTCGGGAATAGTGGTCTGGGAGGGTCTCTCCCCCACGGATCCCAACTTGTGCACTATTTCTGGTGAAGAAGATTCACATAAGAATGGGAAGGAGCCCCAAGTATCTTTACTAAACTTTTTAAAAATTTAAGTATAGTTGATTTACAAAATTGTGCTAGTTTCTAGTATGCAGCAAAGTGATTCAGTCATGTATTTAGTCATATATAAATATATATATTCTTTTCCATATGGTTTATTACAGGATATTGAATGTAATTCCCTATGCAGTAGGATCTTCTTGGTTATCTATTTTATATATAGTTAATTTATATCTGCTAGTCCCAAACTCCTAATTTATTCCACCCCCACCTTCATTTGGTAATTAAACATTTGTTGTCTATGTGTTTCTGTTCTGTAAATAAGTTCATCTGTATCATATTTTAGATTCCACATATAAATGATACCCTATTTGTCTTCCTGACTTACTTCCCTTAGTATGCTAATCTCTTGGTTCATCCACGTTGGGTAAACCCAAAGTATCTTTGCCCTCGGTGTGTCAATCATCCTATAAGACACGTTTTTATGGGAGGAGGAAGGAGTGGAACTAGACTAAGACGTCTTCAGTGAAGAATCTAGGCAGGTCCTCTGTTTTGTGGGGCTGAACAAATGAGTGTGTACAGCGGTGAAATGTGCACTGCAGAACCTGAGCCAGCCGCAATTCTGCCGAAATTCTGTCACTTTAAAATAGAAGCCCGCTAAGACCGAAGAAGGCCGACACCAGAAGAGCAGACAAAACCAGCCAACAAACAACCCGGCAGGAGCCCAGTCCTTTAAAATAGTCGGTGCCGTCATGTGACGGAAGCCCCGCCCCTCCCGCCCAGAGGCGGTGGGGCCGTTGGCGTCACTTCCGTCAGGCCGGAACCCAAGATGGCGGCGCTCTTGTTGAGGTGACTTTAGTTTGGGGCTGGGAGTCCGTGCCGGCGGCCTTCAGGGGACCTGTATTGGCCCCTCACGTCTTGCTGAGAGCCGTTTACCCCGTGCTTGGGCACCGAAAGGAGCCGTGGGTGGCGGCGACGCAGTTTAGAATCCTAGAGACCACTTCCCCTCCCCCAGCCGCTCCTGTACATCGTGGAGAGCTTCGGGGTCACTGGCGGATAATCTTTTCCTTACTCCGTTTTACGGAGGGGTCACGGGGCTCTCGCTTCTTTTGCTTTCCCTGCTTCTAATAGTTCTTCCCCAGCTTGCTCTCTGGGCCACGGCCAGAGCCGACCTCCAAGGAAATAGCTTTAACTTTTTAATTTAGGGCTTGGGCTTCGAGGAGAATCTTGGTGTACTTTACTTCTGCGTTTTACTCCTGGAAACACCAGCTGCTGGCAGTGGGTGGCACTGTTCGAGTTCCTAACCGGCCCCTGGTAGAAAGTGCAGGAGGCCTGGACCCCCACCGGGCTGACGATTAGTAACAGCGCCTATAGCTGTTGCTCTGCTGCGCCAGAGCAGCCCGGAAATTCAATTTTAGTTTATTTTTTTATTTGGTGGGTGAGGGAAGTAGATATCTCAGTTTTTCTCTGCAGTGTCAGCTCGTCCAGAGAAATGCCCTAGATTTTCTTCCATTCTGAATTGTCCACTTTTTAAGAGGCCTCGTTCTCAGAGCCTTTATAGCTGTAGCCGCATTGGGGACTTTAGACGCTCTTGGTACAAATCCCAGCACAGTTTCGTGGCAGCACTATTTTTGGAAACTATTTGTTATGGAAAGTTAGCTTAAATGCTGTTGAGATTTAATTCCTGATTTCCCCAAATATCTTCTCGTTCTCTTTCCACTTCAGTCACCTGGCATAAAAATAGACGGACTTAATTTAGTTTTTCTCTGTGACAAAATGATTCCTCTTGGGAGTTGAGATCAGGATTGGTTTATCTTGATCCTTCATTTTTTTCCCTGTCTGTTATTTCCAGTTGTGTCTCTTTCTAAAATGTGTCAGGGCTTGTCTTGCCAGATTGCCTCCTTTATTACAGGTGGTTTGATCATAATTTAATGCTTTTGAATTCCTTGGTATATACATTTTAGTAGATGTCATAGGCTTTTTGGTGGCATTACCGTAGCTCTTGTAATGATCCTGTTGGGTCTGAACAGTTCATTTTAGGAGTTTCATGTTTAGTACTTAGAAAGTGAGGATCACTGCATTCATTGAGTATGTCCAAACTCTAATTTTGAGCTATGTGGGACTGTCATCATTAGGATTCATTAATGGTAGTACAAAACTCTTATGGGAGGGACACCTCTCTTCATTTCTCACAAGGGCTTTTTAAAAGGAGAAATAGGAGATTAAAAAAAAATTTTTTTTTTTTTCTTGATGTAAGTTCTGGGGTCTAATTGCATTTCACTAGAGGGATTTGTTTATAATGTTCTGATTTCACCTCAAAGGAAAATACCTTCTAAGAAATTCTAGGAGCTGGTTTCTAGTTCTAGTAGTGTCACTAATTCCATTTATTTTAGACAAATCTGGGTCATTGATTACATGATTGTCGTTTCTTTGCAAATGAAAATAGTAATAACTTGAACTCAGGAGAAATATTTTCTAAATGTTTTTAATGCTTGGTTAACTAAAAATTATTAGTATGGCAGTACTGTATGTTATGGATTTTGAATAGTACTCTATATTTTGTATAGTCCCTGAACAGTTCATAAACTAGCTAGGGATGAATAACCAGCTATGTAGCACAAACTCCATTGATAGTCAGGGAATGATTTGCCAGAGCCAAGAAGACCTAGATAGAGAACTAAGCTAAGAATAGCTAGGCTTCTGTCTAGTAATAGTCATGCAACTTAAGCGCAAACCCTCCAAGAGTCATTAACCCTCTGGGCATTGCCCATCATATTAAATACTACATGTGAAGCCCCTCTAAAAACAAGGCTTAATTTATTTAAAGTCTGAATTCTTAAGACTAATTTTTATTTTTATTTTTTTCCATTTATTTTTATTAGTTGGAGGCTAATTACTTTACAATATTGTAGTGGTTTTTGCCATACATTGACATGAATCAGCCATGGATTTACATGTATTCCCCATTCCGATTCCCCTCCCAAGACTGCTTTTTAAAATAAGCATACTCATTCACAGACCATTTTTTTGAGCCTGTTCTATGAGTCATGTTGTTATAGGTGCTGTAGATGTATTCCATTCTATTTTGGGGGAACTCAAAGTTTAGCAAAGGAGATAATTAATAAGCAACCTAATTTTGATGTAGAGGTATGAACAATTGCTTTGGGAGCATGGCAGGTGCAGCATAGCAGGTAGGGCTAAAGAGGTGAAGTTGCCATTTGGGAGTTGCTGGGTCTTGAAGGATGAGTTTATCAGACTGTAAGGGAGGCCCACTCAGAACAACCTGAGCAAAGGCATGTGATCAGAAGAAACTACTGCTCTGTCTGTGGGTAATGTAACTTTCAGTTTGGTAGTATAGAGGACTGAAGGGAACTTGTGGGGGAATAGTTCTAGAGAATTGGATTGGGTCATGTTGAGAAGGACCTTGACTGTGGTATGAACCTTGTAATCAGTGGGGAGCTGTTAAAGACTTTTAGGCAGTTGATTGATGAAGTCAGCTTTCTTTTTCAGTAACTTAACTGGTTATATTGAATGATAGGGAAGAAATTGGTGGTGGTAGGAGATAATTCAGGAGTTCTTGCTAGAGTTGTTTGGATGCTCATACAGCTAATCAGAACTTTTGTGTATAAATGATTGCTCTTCATTGTGTCCTTCAAGATTATGTATTTTAATGTTGTTGTTAACCTCAGACATTTATGAAACTAAGTTTTTGTGTGCCATCAGATCAGGTGTAGAGGATGTGCAAAAGAAAGTCATTATATTATACTCATATCTTGTTTTGGACTAAAAATGGTTTTTATTTAATTTGATGACATAGCCTTGGCTTTGAATAACTTTTGTTTTTTTCCAGAAGTCAGATCCATTTTCAGCAGATTAAGATTTTTACACCACAAAGAATTTTAAAGAGAATGTGATGTGAATTCTAAAGACCTTTGGGAAACCAGTGAAATGTTAATAAACTACATATATATGGTATAGTGCAGTTTAGAGAGTGCTTTCCTATACATTTTCTCATGTTATCCTCCTAGTAATCAATAATGTAGGTTTTATCAATCCCATTTTATAAATGAAAAAGCTGAAGCTCAGTTACCCACTATACAATTTAGGGCAATCTAGACCTCCAGTCTGGCTTTTATTACTTTGTCCAGTGTTCTTTCTACATTACTGTTGTTGCCTTGATACAGGGAAGAGCTTCAGAAACAATTTGAGCAATGATTACATTTAGGGGGAGACATATATAGTGCATTTCCAGCACTAACTGGAAATTATAAGTTCTGGTTTGTTAAAAACAAAACAAGGCAACTACTATTACTTTCTAGCTGTAACATAAAGTGCTATTCCTGGTTTGGAAGAGAAATCTTTTCAGGGTTTCTGGTTTCACATGCAAGGCAGGGATAGATTAGATATCTACTCTTGTCATATTTCAAATAAGGTTATGTAGTTGTGCAACCAGATTCTGTTAGGGCCTTGTGGAAACTTTATATTGGTATTTGTCTGGGAAACAATAGCACTAGACAGAGAGTGCTGTAGATTCCAACCCACATCTGAAAACTCTTGCTGGGTAGCTGAGTGACTGGACCTAGCCTGGTGTGAGGAATGTGTGCCCTGCAACTTCAGAGTCACAATTACTTCAATTGATATAAAGAGATTTGTTCCCACTTCTTTCTTTCTGGGAGTCTTGGGTGCACAATGTCTGTATTTACCCCTTGCCTCCAAAGCTGGGAAGAGGGAAGAGCTGAAGGAAGTGTTGGTTGGATTATTTTTCTTCCAGTAGTGGGCCCTTCTAGTTTTCTAGTGTAAAAAAACATAAGGTTCTTGAAATGTTTATGCCTCTAATATCAGTGGTGTGAGGGACATCATGCACTTTTTTTAGAAGTGTTGGATCTTAACGTGATCTTGTATCCCCCATGGTACATAGTGGATATATGGTAAACTTTTGTAGAATCTCAGTATATTTTTAGTTTTGGCCCCGGAGCTTCATTCTGATGCCTTTCTTAAATAAAGATTCGATATAATGTGAATTAAAGGGGTGTAGTGATCATGTGTTTTTCATGATACCATGTAAACTCTGGATCAGAGCCTCTTTAGGTAGAATAGCTGGGCACATTTTAGTCTTGGACTTGAAAAGCAGTTCTGGTATTAATGGCTGTTTAAAAAATAGCAGTGTTTTAGTGGCAAGCTTCTGTGTCCTCTTTAAGTACCTTTTCCTGTGGATAGCAGAGAAATCTTCATTCTCATATTTTTTGCATTATTGTATGACCGCCTTTTTCACTTCAGGTTCATCCGGGTTGTCTAGAACCTGATGGTAGTTCCCTGAAAAAACAGTTTAATACTTAGGACCCTCACTCTTCAAACCCCTGTTCTTTAAACCTTCTAAATTCATCCATTTGCAGCAGGTGTCTGCTTTAGCTAAGCTGTATAGTACTTGGGGGGCTTCCCAGGTGGTGGTAGTGCTAAAAGAACCCACCTGCGGATGCAGAAGATATAAAGAGATGTGGGTTCAGCCTCTGGGTGGGGAAGGTCCCATGGAGGAGGGCACAGCAACCCACTCCAGTATTCTTGCCTGGAGAATCCCTTGGACAGAGGAGCCTGGTGGGCTACAGTCCATAGGGTCGAAAAGAGTCGGACATGACTGAAGTGACTTAGCACAGCACAGCACACACACAGTTCTTGGTGTTGCCAGTGGCTTATTCTGTCCATCTGCCCTTTTTTTTTCTTTTTTTTTTTTTTAGAAAAAAACCCTGTCTTTTAACCGTCACCTCCTTTAAGACCTAGCTTGAAAAAAAATTGCTTTCTATATTTCTTTTTTTGGCCGCCCCTTGTGGCATGTAGGACCCTGGTTCCCTAATCAGGGATTGAACCTGTGCCTCTTAGATTGGGAGTATGGAGTCTCAACCACTGGACCACCAGAGAAGTCCCACTGTCTATATTTCTTTGTTGAGTATTAACCAACTCTGATTATTCTTTTACCTTGTATTATTTGTGTTTAGCTAAAACTTTATTTTGCATTTGAAAATAATATTTGTGATTATTCTCACGTTATTAAAGTTGAAGCTTTCCAACTAGAAGAAAAATCTCAAAATCCTGATACTGTCCTTGTTTTCATCTTATTCCTAATTTTCCCCTCCACCCTAAAGTCTTACACAGTACAAAAATAGAGAAGTTGATAATACTAAATATATACTAAATGTATATATACTATATATGTACTAAATGTATATATATGTATACTATATATACTATATGTATACTATATATGTGTACTAAATGTATATTGACTGTTGGTTCTCTTATCTTGCAGACATGTTGGCCGTCATTGCCTCCGTGCCCACCTTAGTCCTCAGCTCTGTATCAGAAAGTAAGTTCCTCAATCTGTGGAGATTATTATTATTATTAAACTTTTTCTCATCTGAGAAAATCAGTAGGTTTTTGACTGAGATTTTGGGGATGTGTGCGAAAGCTGGTAATTGTAGATGGTTGGCTGAAAATTTAGTGACCATGGTCTCTATTTTTCTTATCTGGTAGTAGAAGAAAGAAGGAATTTTTGAATTTATCTTTGGTCTTTTGTTAGTTTTCCTCACTTTAAGCTTTTCTGCTATTTTTAACTTCATTTATTTGCTCCATTTTTTGGTTCCTTTCTTGATATTTAATTCTCTTCTGTCTAGTCTTTCTTCCTTTTGTACTTCCTTTTTCTTGTAACCTTTAATTTTGGGCTGCTCCCAGGAGTTAGTATTTAAATCTGTTTCTTCTTATAATATTTATTTATAGTCTGTTGACCTCAACAGTTGCCTCTGTATGGTTTTTTTTTGTTATAAAAATTGTTTAAATATTTATCTATGGCCACGCCCCACAGCATGTGGAAGTTCCCTGACCAGGGATTGAACCCATGCACCTGCATTGGAAGGGTGGAGTGTTAACTGGACTACCAGGGAAGTCCCCCTTAACTTTTTTTAAGTTTGTTTATTTTTGTCTGTACTGGATCCTCACTGCTATGTGGGCTTTTCTCTAGTTGTGACAAGCAGGGGCTACTCTAGTTGCAGTGCAAGCGCATCTCACTGCAGTGGCTTCTCTTAGCACAGAGCACAGGCTCTAGGGCATGAGGGTTTCAGTAGTTGCAGCATAACTTTTTAACTTTTTTTTTAATCCCCCTTTAACTTTTAATTTTAGAAATGTTTTGTACTTTTAGGGAGTTCCTTGGTTGCCTAGTGGTTAGGATTGCAGGCTTTCCCTGTTGTGGCCTGGATTCAATCCCTGTTCCATGAACTGAGATTCTGCAAGCTGAGCAATGCAACTGGGGAAAAAAAAAAAAAAGAGTAGAAATACGTTGTATTTTCAGAAAAGTTGGAAAAATAGTACAAGGAAGTTCTACATACCTTTCACCTATATTCTCAGTTGTTAATGTTTTGCTGTGTTTACATAGTGCTCTATATTTTTGGTTGTGCCATATGAAATTATATTTTTGTAGCTCAAAACTTGTGTAATACTGACAGTTTAGTGTGGTTCAGCACAATTTAATTATTGTGATTTTCTCTGCATTCTTTGAGATTAAGTTGCAGACATCATGACCTCTTACTTCTAAATACTTCTCCTAAGGGAATTCCTGGCATTCTGGTAATCAGGACTCCACACTTCCACTGCAGGGAGCATGGGTTTGATCCCTTGTCAGGGAACTAAGATCTCACATACCTCACAGCGCAGCAAAATAAACCCCAATTTCTCCTAAGAACAAGAAAATTATCGTATAAAACACAGAATAATTATACAAATGCAGTTATCAAACTCAGGAAATTTAACTTTGACCTAATCTTACTTGATACACAGTCAATTTTCGGATTTTTCATTTCTCCCAAACTGTCTGTCCCCTATCCAGGATCCGATTAGGCTCACATATTATATTTAGTTGTCATATTTCTGTAGTATCCTTTAATCTGGAACTATTTCTTAGCCTTCTTTGTCTTTTATGACATTGACATTTTTCAAGAATATAGGTCAGTTATTTTTCAGAGTTTCTCTCAAGTTAGATTTGTGTGATTGTTTTCAGATGATTTAGGTTATGCATTTTTGGCAGGAGTAATGCGTTAATGATGTTTTATCCTCAGTATATCACATCAGGGACATATGATATCATTTGTCTCATTGTCAGTGATTTTAACTTTGGCAATTTGAATGTGGAAATGTGTGCTAAGTTTTTTCCCAGTATGGAGTTACTGTTTTTAACTTCTATAATTTATAAGTAATATATGGGGAAATATTTTTCTTGAGGGGGATGGATCATGTTTAATGTAGGTATATAGTAAATTAAATTGTTGAACATAGCTGTCTAAGAATTGGCTTCAGCCTAGCCTCAGTTCAGTTAAGTCGCTCAGTCGTCTGACTCTTTGCAACCCTGTGGACTGCAGTACGCCACACTTCACTGTCCATCACCAACTCCAGGAGCTTTCTCAAACTTATGTCCATTGAGTTGGTGATGCCATCCAACCATCTCATCCTCTGTCGTCCCCTTCTCCTCCTGCCCCCAATCCCTCCCAGCATCAGGGTCTTTTCCAATGAGTCAACTCTTCGCATGAGGTGGCCAAAGTATTGGAGTTTCAGCTTCAGCATCAGTCCTTCCAGTGAACACCCAGGACTGATCTCCTTTAGGATGGACTGGTTGGATCTCCTTGCAGTCCAAGGGACTCTCAAGAGTCTTCTCCAATACCACAGTTCAAAAGCACCAATTCTTCAGCACGCAGCTTTCTTTATAGTCCAACTCTCACATCCATACATGACGACTGGAAAAACCATAGCCTTGACCAGATGGACCTTTGTTGGCAAAGTAATGTCTCTGCTTTTTAATATGCTGTCTAGGTTGGTCATAATTGTTCTTCCAAGGAGCAAGCATCTTTTAATTGCATGGCTGCAGTCACCATCTGCAGTGATTTTGGAGCCCAAAAAAATAAAGTCTGACACTGTTTCCATTGTTTCCCCACCTATTTGCCCTAAAGTGATGGAACCAGGTGCCATGATCTTAGTTTTCTGAATATTGAGTTTGAAGCCAACTTTTTCACTCTCCTCTTTGACTTTCATCAGCCTAGCCTAGTGACAAGAAAAATCATGAAACTATTTAGAGGTACTGAATTGAATCTAGTTCTCAGTTTTTGAGAACTTGGAAAGGAGTCTTGAAGAGCTGAATGAAAGCAGGTGGTAATGTATGAGATATCACACATGACCTGGGTGATATGTAAATGGTTTTGAAATACTGTATTTGCCCTGCTGCCCAACAAGAAAGTTAATCTTCCATTACTGTACTTGGGTGTTGGGGGATTGAAAAGAAGAGTTGCTTTCTAATATGCCTCATTGGGTGGTTGAGGTTATTAGTAGCTGAGTCATACTTGGCAGAAAGATAAGGTGAGTGGACAGACATGTTTTCTTAATATATGGGTTCATCTAGCCCAGCTTACCTTTAACTTTTTATTATCTAAAATTTTAAACCAAGTTTACTTTTAATCATTTAAACCTTTTGGTTTTATTTTAGTGCTGTTCCTTTGGGAACCACAGCCAAAGAAGAGATGGAGAGGTTTTGGAGTAAGAACAGTAGTTCAAACCGTCCTTTGTCGCCCCATATCAGCATCTACAGGTAAGGGCTCTGGAACCAGGGAATTTAGTAGTAGCAGGTAAAAGTTCTGGAGGTAAGTCAAAATGTAATTCCTATTAATTAAAAAAAATTACTTTGAAATCATTTGAAATTTGCATAAATGTTGCAGAAATAGTGTGCTGTGTTACTGTATACCTTTATGCAGACTCCCAATGTGTTAACGTGTCTGAATGATTTTAAAAGAGTGCAGCGATAATGATACTCCATTACTCCTGTGTTAGTTTTCTATTGCTGCTGTCATAAGTGATCACAAACTTAGTAACTTAAAATGACACATTTATTATCTTATAGTCCTGTAGTTCAAAGTCTGGCTTAGGTCTAACAGGGCTAAAATTAAGGTGTTGGCAGGGCTGCATTCATTTCTGGAGGCTCTGGGGGAGAGTGTTACGTTACTTTCTCCAGCTTCTGAAGGCTGTTTTGAATTCCTTGGCTTGGAACCTGTTTCCTCCATCTTCAAAACCAGCAGTGATGTGTCAGGTTCTACCATCATATCACTTTGAACTTGCTTCATTGTCACATTTCTTCTCTGACTCCCTCCTTCTGCCAGCCCCTTCTACTTTTAAGGACCCTTTGTATTATATTTGGCCCATCCAGATAATCCAGGATAGCCTTCTTATCTTAAGGTGAGCTTATTAGCAACTTTAATTTCACTTGCAACCTTAATTTCCCTTTGCTATTTAAGGTAAATATTCACAAGTTTCAGGAATTAAGAGTGTGGACATCTTCTGTCTGCTGCAGTCCCTTAATACTTGAGTGTAAGTTTCTTAATTCGAGGAAACTCTCCATACTACAGCCATCACAGTCAGAAAATTAACATTGATCCTGTGTTAATCACGTAATCCTCAGATCCCATTCAGATTTTGCCAGATGTCCCAAAATGTCCTTTATAGGTCCAGGATCCAACTGAGGATCATGTATTACATTTAGTTGTTTTAACTATTTGGAGTTAGCACAAACCCCACAGGTAGGGGTTCAGTCCCACAAGACTGCCTCCCACTTCAGATGCCAATCCCAAATCCCAGCTTGTCATTTGTACTTCTAACTGAAAGGGTTAGTCGCTCAGTCGTGTCTGACTGTACATGACCCCATGGACTGTAGCCCACCAGGCTCCTCTGTCCATGGGGTTCTTTAGGCAAGAATACTGGAGTGGGTAGCCTTTCCCGTCTCCAGGGGTTCTTCCTGACCCAGGGATCGAACACATGTTTCTTAGGTCTCCTGCATTGGCAGGCAGGTTTTTTTTTTTTAACCACTAGCACCACCTGGTACTTCTGGCTAACCGTCTATAAATCAAGAGTTCTCATAACCTCCTCCTTGGGCTCAGTGATTTGTTAAAATGGCTCAAGAAACTTGGAAACATTTACTTAAGTTTACTATGATTATAAAGGGTATTACAGATGCTACAGATGAATAGCCAGGTGCCCTTTTAGGTCCCTCTGTGTCTAGAAGGATCCTGAGCACAGGAGCTTCTGTCTCCATGGAGTTGGGGTGCATTATCCTTCTGATATGTGGACGTATTTACCAATCTGAAAACTTCCCAAACCCTGTACTTTGGAAATTTTTATAGAGGCTTCATCATGTAGTCATGATCAGTTATTAACTTAATCTCTAGCCCTTCCTTCCCTGGAAGGAGGTGGGGTTGGGGCAGAAAGGTCCAAGCTTGTGGTCATGGTTTGGTCTTTCTGGCGACCAGCCCCCATCCAGAGTCACCTCATTAGAACAGAGGTCACTCTTACCTCCCAGGAAGTTCTAAGGGATTTAGGAACTGTGTGTTGGGAACCAGAGTCAAAGACCAAATAAAAAGATACTCCTAGCACCCATATCAGTGAGGAGATTGATAAGGGTTTTGAGAGCTCTGTGTCAGAAACTAGGAATAGATATGTTTTACACACACACACACACACACACACCCCTCCCCCACCACATTACTTCACAGTTCTTGTTTTACCCAGAGTTACACTGTTACTCTGATTTATTTTGTTGTTCAGATTGTCCCAGACTTGGCTGGTGGAAATTTTTCAAGATGACTCCTGTGAAATCAAGATCTGGGTGCTAGATGTGCTCACTGCTAACAGGATATCATTGCTTTAGACTTTTTCTGACAGAGCTATGATATATATGTATGAACACACAGACACGTACAAATACATGTACATGTGTATATATGAGTATATACATATATGTACATCTATTTCTGTTAATTTGTTGTCCTCAGAAGTAGCATTGATGGCTGTTATGCTAGTGTCTTCCCAAAAAACTCCTAACTCAGCAAAGCATCTTGAGTCCTGCTACCGTATTTTCTTGGGTTCCTGCCAGGGAAGCTGGTCATTTTTTAACCACCTCCACAAATACCACAACCCTTCAGATTTTTTCCAAACTAGATTCCTGAAATAATTCTGATTGTAGAAATTGGACAGTCTACTAAAACAGAAGAAGACAAATAAGTGATCTCAATCTTTGCTACCTTGTGGTAAAACTTTTTTTTAAGAGATGAAAGATTTGAGAGAGGATTATAATGAAGAAGAACTTGTCAAATTATGTTGAGTCTATATTTAAAGCTCTGGCCTTTTTTCACAAGTCATATTAACAAATGATAATAAGCTAGTGGGATGAGACTTAAACTACTTTGTTTGCTCTTCTGATTATGAAACTCTGGACATACTCATGGGAAAAAAAAGAAAAGAACTGGCAGGAACCATGGGGCTGTTTCCAAGGTGATATGTCTGGGTAAGATATCTGAGATATCTGGAGTCATATTTTCTGTTACTAACTTTTATAAATTTTTGGAGGTTGCATGGAAATATATGGTTAAGTTAGCCTTTCTGAAGTATTCTTTATCTCTTAGTAAATTGTCACTATCAAAGCAAAAGTATATATAGGGAATTACATTTTCAGGGAAACAAGTCATTTTAAAAGATGTTAGAAAAATATTTTAAATATTTAGAGTTGGAAGAGTTCTTAGATTTTAATTTAATTTTCAACCACATTGGTTTTAAGAATGCTGCTTGGGGCTTGGGATACTTCATTAAGTATCACAATTACCCACTTCTGTGAGTAGTTGTGTGGGACTGGTCAACATGCAGATTGTACTGTAGGCCCTTAGACCTGGCTGTAACCAAAGCAACTTGACTAAGGATTTTGTTTTTGAAGAAAGGGTGCTACTCAAAAAAAGAAAAAAGTTTAAAAGCCACAAATGAGTAAATTTCCTCTGCAGTATTTTTGTAAACAAATGTCTACTTATGCTTGCATACCTCCAGTGACAAGAAACTCACATCACCCTTTTCCAGTTTGGAAATTTCTCTTACTATCAGAAAGACCCTTATTTTATTGAACTTACTATAACTTATATCTTCTGCACAGTGGCTTTAGTTCTACCATGAACTATGTAAAATAGATCTAAGCCCATTTTTTCCCCCCCTGACAACTTTTATTGATGTTGAACATCTTTTCATGTGTTTGCTGGCCACCTGTATATCTTCTTTAGAGAAATGAATATTCAAGTTCTATGCTCATTTTTATGTTGGGTTGCCTTTTAACTTTGTTTAAAATTTGTGGTAAAATATACATAACAAACTTAAGCAGTTTATTGATTTATTGATTTTTAAGTGTACAATTCAGTGGCATTAAGTACATTCACATTGTTGTGCAACCATCACTACTGTTTATCTCCAGAATCTTTTAATCTTCCCAAACCGAAACTCTGTACAGTAATTCCTATTACCCCGGCCACTGGCAACCACCATTTGTGTTTCCGTCTTTATAAATTTGACTGCCCTGTGTGCTGTGCGTAGTTACTCAGTTGTGTCTGACTCTTTGCGACCCCGTGGACTGTAGCCCATCAAGCTTCTCTGTCCGTGGGGATTCTGCAGGCAGGAATACTGGAGTGCATTGCTATTTCCTTCTCCAGGGGATCTTCCCAACTCAGGGATCAAACCCAGGTCTCCCACATTGCAGGCGGATTGTTTACCCCCTGAGCCACCAGGGACCTCATAAAGTAGAATCATATGATGTTTGTGTTTTTGTATCTGGCTTATTGCATCTGGTATAATGTCCTCAAGGTTAACCTGTGTTGAAGAATCTATCAGAATTCCATTTCTTTTTAAGGCTGAATAATATCCCATTGTACATATGTGCCACTTTTTGCTTATCTATTCATTTGAATTGTTTCTATCTTTTGGCTATTGTGAATAATGCTGCTACGAACATGGGCACACAGATATCTCTTTGAACCTCTGCTTTCAATTCTTTGGGGGTATATCCTAGAAGTGGAATTGCTGGATTATGGTAATTCTATCCTTAATTTTTTGAGAAAACAATGTATTGACCGTAGGGGCAGTAGCACTTTTTACATTTCCACCAGTAGTGTGCACAAGGGTTCCAGTTTTTCCACATCCTCACCAACACTTGTGATTTACTGTTTTTGTTGTTGTTTTAATAATAACCATCCTAATGAATGTGAAGAGGTATTTCATTGTGATTTCGATGTGCATTTTTCTAATGATTGATGATGTTGAACATCTTTTCATATACTTACTAGCCATTTATATATCTTCTTTGCTTTTTGCTTTTTTGATGGTATTGTTTGCAGCATGATTGTTAGATCACTGGCTGAAATTCATATAGCCTATGTCTCTAGCTTTTTCTTGGTTAACATTCTACTAACAGTCAAAAAAAGGGGAAAAATCAACACTCTTCAAGTCAGGAGCTGTTTGTTAATTGCTCAGTGCACTTGGTACTCTTTTTGAAGTTGAAATACAAAGGTGAATAAGAGAATAAGATATAACCTGTGTTGAAAAGGGTCTCAGTATTTCCTGAAAAAAAATTTTCCTAAAGGAAATCTTACTGGCTTCTAGTCGTCACTTTTCTCTAACTGAGTTAAATCAGTCTTGATTTTCTGTGCTAGATTCTTAAATGTGTTCAGAAGAAATACTGGGGGTGACCTATTAGTCTCTGCCTCATGATGTCTGCGGCCTCAACGAAAAAACACAAACTGGGGCTGAAATAATTTGAAGATTCATTTACTCAACATGTCTTGGATTGATTCTGGCTTTTAGAGTTGGCCTTCATTTTCTCTCTGCATGGATCTTTCTACTTGATCTCTCTGCATAGACTATTTCAGGCTTCCTTACAGCATGAGAGAAGGATGGAGCGATGGAAGGAGCACAAGTGATTTGGAAGTCGTGCAGTGCCAGATCTGCTGTGCTCTGTATCATGAGGTAGTCGGTCATGAAGTCCTGCCCAGAGTCAAGGGGCTAAATATAAAATATGGTGTGATGAGGAGTGACAAGATTCTAGAAGATCATATGGGACTGGAAATACTATCATGATTATTTAGAAAATAAAATTTCCTTTAGCAGCTCGGTACTAGGCTAACCAGCCTATGATTTTAACCATTTTTTAAAGTTAGGTTAACATTTGACTTCATATCATTCCGATTTTCCATTCAGTATTTCTTAAAGATTACAAGATCAGTGGTTATATTTCATGTGTTAGCCCTTGGGGTTTAATTCATCTCGCCAGGAGTCCTAATTGCATTTGGAATGCTAAGTAGTGTCTTATTATTTCCCCACTCCCCCCGCCCCCCGCCAGTTCTCTCAAATCAATATTTGTTCTGTCTTTTTTAGTCTAATAATCATTCTCTTTGACAAATAAAATAGTTGAGCAATCTGCTTTGCACTCTGTCATCCATTAACATAAAATTGTCAACCCTAGTTAGGAGGCTTTCTTTCCCCGAGTACAATCTTAAAAGCCCCTTTTTGTTGTCCTTGACATTTTTGCAAGCCTCAGCTCATTCTGGGTTTTAGTCTCCTGATTCTTCTGATCAAATTATGCCATTGTTCTCTCCTTGTCCTTTGTTATGAGGCTCTTCTTCTGCCTTTTATATTTATCTTGTTAGTCTGAGTTAATCTAGAGTGGTGTCTAGCCAGTTTTCTTGGTTTCTTTAGACATTATTCTTTTTTTTTTTAAATACTGTAACCATTACATAGAATTTTTTTTACATAGACATTATTTATTACACTTATTATTGTGATCATTTTTATTACATAGACATTGCTCTTTTTTTTACTGTGGCCATTTTTATTACATAGAATTTATTTTCATGATCTTTTCAATCTACTGGAATTCCTTTCCTTTAGAGTTTATTATATGGTCTGACTATGCTCAACATTCTCTAAGCTGACTTTTCAGGATGAATGTTAACTTTATCCAAAGATGCCTGTTCTTTCCATTTTACTAACCAATTCTCTCTTGAGCAAGAGAACTAGGTCCAGAATATAGAAGTATTGCTTATCCTTCTAAGGAAAAGCATTGGCAGATAGACAGATGAGAACATTATTTTTAAAAGGGTTTGATGACAGAGTATTTCAAAACACTTGTGGATTTAAGAAATATATACTAAATCCAGCAAAATTAGATTTTAAATTTGGGATAAGTAATTTATTAGGGAGTGAATGATATGCTCAATTTGGATATTTTTGTTTATATAATAATAAAGTTCATGGATGACTATGTTATGTGAAACAGTAGATAAATAAAACTCAAGTTTTCTTCTACTTCTGTCTTAATACTGGAGGAAAGGAACACCCCAGATGGTTGTATTCTACTGTTTATTTTCTAACTGTATGCAACTTTAATTGATGTTTTTGACACATGTTATTTCTTTTATGAAAGGAATTTGAATCTTAATTAATTTCTCATCTCTGTTAGTGATGCAGTCTAGAAAAGGGAGGGACTTCTTAAATAAATCATTTTCTTGCTTTTAACCTGGAGAGTGGAAACACAGAAATATGAAAGTTGTTTGGTTTTGCTTTGTGATAAATAGTTGCCTGTTTCCAAAGTAGTTTATATTTTCTTTTCCAAGATGGATTCTCTACAATGGTTTCCTCTGTTCCTCTTATAAATTACCTTTGTGTGTTTCTTTTCAGCTGGTCTCTTCCCATGGCGATGTCCATTTGCCACCGTGGCACTGGTATTGCCTTGAGTGCAGGTATGTATATGTGTTTTTATCTGCACATGAACACACAGACACATACACACACATTTCTTTGAAAAGCTTTGCTATTTCTGTGACTCTTGATAGTGTCTCCTTTGCAACTCAGCAGCTTGATATAGAGAAAATGATTAAGTCCACTGAAGCTTATTGTTCATTCATTTCTTTAACAGTTAATTATGAGTTCCCACAATGCTCAGGTTCTTTTCTTAACCAGTTTTTATTTTCTTTTTAAAAAATTTTCTTATCCAGTTTTTAAACTATTCCTAGCATGTCCTGATATTATATTTATTGACATTACAGAGAACAGATACAGAAATATAATGGAGATAGCCTGGCTGACTGAACATTGACCAAACAGTCTAAGATTAATCATCAACCTTATTCTTTCAGAAAATCCATTTTAGCACCCATTTTTCGTCACCTGGGATTGATCAAGTACAGAAATACTAACTCATTCTCCATTCTCAAAAGATCCTGGTAACAAACCACAATTTCTGTTTATTTATATAATATGAAATACAGCTGCAGCATTTGTTTTTCATAATATCCTTTGGGGTCCCTCCTAGTCTTCCATAGAGTATGTTTTTACTGAAGTGGTCATCAACAGGACTCAAGTATAGGGCTCCTGCATTTAGGAAGCTACTGCTGAGACATTGGAGAAATTATCTAAAACTAAGTCTGTGATTCAAAATTAGATTAGTTTTGTTGGTAATCAAGTAAGGATAGGAACTCCTATCTTAAGATCCAATGTTATTATTCCTGTGTTGCCTTTTCTTTGGTTGGTAAAGTAATAATGGAATCCAGGTATAAGGATGATTGGTGTTGTCTGAGAATGTGTACAGTTTCTGATTTTTAACGTACTTGCACTTAAATAATAGGATAAATTTTAGGATTCAGTTAAGTTCAGTCACTCAGTCGTGTCCGACTCTTTTCAACCCTATGAATCGCAGCACGCCAGGCCTCCCTGTACATCACAAATTCCCGGAATTTACTCAAACTCACGCCCATCGAGTCGGTGATGCCATCCAGCCATCTCATCCTCTGTCGTCCCCTTCTCCTCCTGCCCCCAATCCCTCCCAGCATCAGGGTCTTTTCCAATGAGTCAACTGTTTGCATGAGGTGGCCAAAGTATAGGAGTTTCAGCTTCAGCATCAGTCCTTCCAGTGGACACCCAGGGCTTATCTCCTTCATGATGGACTGGTTGGATCTCCTTGCAGTCCAAGGGACTCTGAAGAGTCTTCTCCAACACCACAGTTCAAAAGCATCAATTTTTTGGCACTCAGCTTTCTTCACAGTCCCAACTCTCACATCCATACATGACCAGTGGAAAAACCATAGCCTTGACCAGACGGACCTTTGTTGGCAAAGTAATGTCTCTGCTTTTTAATATGCTATCTAGGTTGGTCATAACTTTCCTTCCAAGGAGTGTCCTTTAATTTCATGGCTGCAGTCACCATCTGCAGTGATTTTGGAGCCCAAAAAAATAAAGCCTGACACTGTTTCCACTGTCTCCCCATCTGTTTCCCATGAGGTGATGGGACCAGATGCCATGATCTTAGTTTTCTGAATGTTAAGCTTTAAGCCAACTTTTTCACTCTCCTCTTTGACTTTCATCAAGAGGCTTTTTAGTTCCTCTTCACTTTCTGCCATAAGGGTGGTGTCATCTGCATATCTGAGGTTATTGATATTTCTCCTGGCAATCTTGATTCCAACTTGTTTTAACTATAAATTCATAGTTGTTTTATTTTTTCTTACTTAGAATCTTATAATTTTTATATTGATACTTTTTGCTTAGTGTGGTGGTGTTTATAAACAGATTGAGTCCTAAAAATCATTGGAAGGACAAGAACAATTTATTTATTAGGCTATAGTTTCAATTATTGGGCTTCCTGGGTGGCTCAGTGGTAAAGAATCCACCTGCTATTGTGGGAGACGTGGGTTTGATCCTTAGGTTGGCAGGATTCCCTGGAGTAGGAAATGGCAAGCCATTCTAGTATTCTTGCCTGAAAAAGTCCATGGATAGAGGAGCCTGGCTGGCTACAGTCTGTGAGGTTGCATAGAGCTGGACATGACTGAGTATGCACACAGTTCTATATTATCTTAGTATATTTATCGCTACTGAATGAAAAAAGAGGATATTGAATCTTTCATAGACTATAATGTAAAGAAGTATTAGTTTGCTAAGTATGGCTAAACTTGTATGTATTTTTTTACACAGCTGAACTTAATAATTATTTTTTTTTCTGTTTTTCCCCTTTGAATGACCTTGTATTTGTTAGTATGTATACTCTTCTTCCCAAACCTTTTCCCTTAATTCTGTTCAGCATGTTTCCCTTAAATTCTGAAAGTCCCTACTTCAAAACTGGAACAGATTTTTGCTAGGTGGATGCTTTAGGCAACTTAGTTACCTCTCTAAGCCTCTGTTTATTCCTTGTTTTAACATATTAATGCCTATTCCAGAGTTGATGGGATTTGAAGAAACTACACTCTGGATGTTGACTTAGGAAAACAGGGATGAGAAGCACAATAAATTTGATAGCAGTAGTCTCTTGGAAGATGGTGTGTACTGGACCAAATGGCGAGAAGAATTTGATCATTTGACCTGAAATGAAGTCAGTCCCAGCAGCTGTGATCATTGCAATCTTGTGGCGCTCCTCCAATCTATTTTTCACACAACAGCAAGAACAATAAAAATCTCTTGAAAATAAATTGAATCAGGTCACACTTAGGATCTTCCTCTTACAGTGTTTGCCTTTGCACTTAGATTAAAATTCAACTCTGCACCATGACCTAAAACACTCTTCCTGATCTGGCCCTTGCCTGAGTCATGCTGCCGTTTATCCCTGTGCTTACTCTGTTCTGGCCACACTTGTCTTTGAATTCTTTGGAACAGGTAAAAACTCTTTCTCTTCCCAGAGCCATTGCATGTTTTATTCCCTTGATCTGAAATGTCCACCCCTTCCTCTTGCTACAGTGTGTGGTTAGTTCCTTCTTATTTCTTAGATCTCCACAAAATTGTCAGCTCAATGTATACTTTACTCACCACCATATCTAAAGTAGTAGCTCTGGTTTGTTTCTAGTTCTGTTATTACTTTTCAATTTCACAACACTATTCCTTCATAGTTCTTATTGCACTGTTTGTTCACAGCTTTTTATAAATCTGTCTCTTTTATTAGACTGTAAACTCTTCAGAGAGTAGGACTTGCATCTACCTTATTTACCATTCATATCCTCTAGCACTCAATGGGTGCTTGAAAAGTGTCTTAGTCACTCAGTCATGCCCAGCTCTGTGACTCCATGGACCATAGCCCACCAGGCTCCTCTGTCCATGGTAAGAATCCTGTAGTGGGTAGCCATTACCTTCTCCAGGGAATCTTCCCAACCCAGGGATCAAACCTGGGTCTCCTTAATTGCAGGCAGATTCTTTACCTTCTTAGCCACCAGGGAAGCCCAGTAATGGAAACTATTAACCTAATAAACTGCTCTCGTCCTTCCAGTGATTTTTAGGCTAAATGAATGCAACCATGTCAGTCACTTTGCTTATGGTGGTCAGTTCAGAAATGTTTGTTCCTCCTCAGTCAGTTTAGTCACTCAGTCGTGTCTGACTCTTTGCGACCCCATGAGCCACAGCACACCAGGCCTCCCTGTCCATCACCAACTCCCAGAGTCCATCCAAACCCATGTCCATTGAGTCGGTGATGCAATCTAACCATCTCATCTTCTGTCGTCCCCTTCTCCTCCTGCCCTCAAATCTTTCCTAGCATCAATGTCTGTTCAAATGAGTCAGCTCTTCTGATTAAGTGGCCAAAGTATTAAGAGTTTCATCTTCAACATCAGTCCTTCCAGTGAACACCAGGACTGATCTCCTTTAGGATGGACTGGTTGGATCTCCTTCCAGTCCAAGGGACTCTCAAGAGTCTTCTCCAAGACCATAGTTCAAAAGCATCAATTCTTCTGTGCTCAGCTTTCTTTATAGTCCAACTCTTACATCCATACATGACCACTGGAAAAACCGTAGCCTTGACTAGATGGATCTTTGTTGACAAAGTAATGTTTCTGCTTTTAATATGATGTCTAGGTTGGTCATAACTTTTCTTCCAAGGAGTAAGCATCTTTTAATTTTCGTGGCTGCAATCACCATCTGCGGTTATTTTGGAACCCAGAAGAATAAAGTGAGCCACTGTTTCCACTGTTTCCCCATCTGTTTGCCATGAAGTGATGGGACCAGATGCTATGATCTTAGTTTTCTGAATGTTGAGCTTTAAACCAACTTTTTCACTCTCTTTCACTTTCATCAAGAGGCTCTTTAGTTCTTCACTTTCTGCCATAAGGGTGGTGTCATCTGCATATCTCAGATTATTGATATTTCTCCCGGCAGTCTTGATTCCAGCTTGTGCTTCCTCCAGCCCAGTGTTTCTCATGATGTACTCTGCATAGAAGTTAAATAAGCAGGGTGACAGTATACAGCCTTGATGTACTCCTTTTCCTATTTGGAAGCAGTTCCTCCTAACTTCTAATTAATCTTCTGTTAAGCATTAGAAATTGGATAGTGATAAAAGCGTCTACCCTCAAGGGTAAAAGAATCTAAGGAATAAGACAAATAAATATTTATAATGCATTGGGATAATTTTTTAATAGAGATATGAGGTGCCAGAGGTGAGACCACCTCTGCAGGAGTTGGAGATCTTGAAAGAAGAGCGGGCGGGAGAATTCATGGAAAGGAGGTAGAGGAGAATGTTCCAACGGAGAAACCACCAGATGCAAAGGCCCAGGGTTTGGAAAGCATCCAGAATCTTGGATGATGATAAGTAGGTCTGCTTGTTTAAGAGCTGTGTTACGGAAGTGGCAGAAGATAAGTTTGGATAATGATAACTAGATTGTTTAAGAGTTGTGTCATGGAAAAAGTGGCAAAAGATAAGGCTGGAAAGTGTCCTGGACTCTAAAGGACTTTGACCGCTGTGTTGAGATGTTGGAACTTGATCCCATCGACCATAAGAAATCAAAAAAAAGTTTACGTTCTCATTTGTTTCAGTAACAGAACAAGCTGGGCTAGACAAATCCATGATGAGGTGTTTATTCATACTGTAGAGATTTTGTGGCTGATACTCTAAAAAGCATGTTGAACTAAAAAAGCATGATGACACTAGTTTGACTTTAAATAGAATTTATTGAGGAAGAACTTTACAAGCAGTTCTTTAAAAGATGGAAAAAGAAGCCAGTAACACTTTTCCATTGCTTAGATTCTGTATGGGATTAAAATACTTGTGATTTTTCATAGCAACAGTGTAAAAATCTAGGTGAAATTAGGTAAATTCCTTGAAAATGGCAGGTAGCTGAAGCTGCAGTGTGAATAAGACTGGGAAAGGCTAATCAAAATGCAGTGTACAACAATGAAAAGAATGAGATTTGAGGGACTCCTCTGGTGATCCAGTGGCTAAGACTCCATGCTCCCATGCAGGGGGCCCGGGTTCTATCCCTGGTCAGGGAACTAGAGCCCACATGCCACAACTAAGACCCAGCACAGCCAAATAAAATTTTTTTTTTTTAAAGAATGAGATTCGAAAAATAAAATGTGGGTGCCAAACAACAGATACGTTAGAAGTGAGTGAAGTCGTTCAGTCATGTCCAACTCTTTGCGACCCCATGGACTGTAGCTTACCGGGCTCCTCCGTCCATGGGATTTTCCAGGCAAGAGTACTGGAGTGGGTTGCCATTTCCTTCTCCAGAGGATCTTCCCAACCCAGGGATCGAACCCAGGTCTCCCACATTGTAGGCAGACGCTTTACCATCTGAGCCACCAGGGAAGTCCTAATGTAGAACGCAGCTGTAAATAAATTGTACAGTTAACTTGAATGAGAAGAAGAGTGGTCCTGAATGTTCTGGGTAGTCTTTAAAAACAGGTCGGATTGAAAATCAGAACTTCAGTGAGAGGTCACTTGACTGTATAGGCAACCTGCTCAGGTAGTCACTTCTTTTCTAGAAAAGCCAAAGAACTGACAGATTATAAAGTAACTAATGGAGCTCTGAAATCCCTGTTTTTCTGGGCTTTTCATGAGGTAGGACATGAGTTATTGATTCTCAGATGTGATGTGTTACACCCTGGTCATTCCCAACTGAGGCAGTGTAGAGAAAAAGCACAAACTTTAGGTATTTCTGAGTTGAGTTCCAACTTTGTCACTAACTAGCTACTATATCATCACTTCCTTTTCTGCTTATAATGCCTAGCTAGGACTTTGAGAATTATATATATAAAGTTGCAGCTGTAAACCAGGGTTCACATGACTCCTTCCTCAGTTTTGATAATTTAATAGAAGAGCTCACCATAACTCAGGAAGACACTTTATTTAGACATACTGGTTTTCAAAATAAAAAGCAATGGAGGAGATTACAAAAGGCAAGGTATACGGGAACGGAGAGGAAAGTGTGTTTGAAGCTTCCATGCTCTCTCTGGGCACACCACCCTCCCAGCACATCCTTGTGTTCAATAACCTAGAAGCTGTCCAAATTCTGTAGTTTATGGTGGCTTCAGTGCCTAGGCAGTATTGATTAATCATTGGCCATTGGTCATTAGCTCGATCACCAGCCACTCACAGGTGTGTGTATGTAGTGAGAGGAAGCGGGGAGTAGACAGGGAAGGGGAGGGATGTATGGGACTAAAAGTCCCAATCCTCCAATCATGCTTTGCTCTTCCTGGCAGCTAGCCCCCCATCTCGAAGCTGTCTAGGTGCCCCCAGCTACCAGCCATCTCATTAGTATACAAAAAACTCACTCCAAGAGTTTTAGGAGCTGTGTACCAGGATTTGGGAAAAAGACCACATGTGTATTTTTTATTGTGTCACATCTTCAAACACAGAATATCAATTAGTTAATTCAGTCACAAGTTGGCCAAAGCTTTCTCTTTACAAATGAAAAGTATGTGAGAAGAAATAAGTATGGAATTTCCCAAGTCCTCTTCTTAATGTATAGTATACTGGGAAGCAGAAAATAGACTCTCAGAACCTGAGGAGAGACTTTTTAACATCTAAACAATTTAAATTGGGAAAACAAAGCCACTGAAGCTGTCACATCTAATCACTGAGAAAAATTAGTGCTTTCTTTTGACTGCCAAGACCAACTTCAGCCTGCTACTCTGCAGTTAAGTGCTACAACACAAAGAACTGTGCAGATTGTCAGTAAATCCTGTTGGCACTTCCAGAAGCCATTGTAAACTTTGATACTTCTTCCCAGCAAACCCCTGTAGATGTCACTGCAAAAGAAAATGAAAACATCTAAAAGGGCCTTGGTGAATCTGTTCAAATGATGATTAAAACTCAGGTTGGCAGCACCTGATTGCTGTTTTTTTATCTAAAGTGTTGTCAAACTCATGATATACTCTGCCTGTCTGCTCCCCTGCAGCCTCTAGGGGGTGGGGTGGCAGGAGTATTCATGCCCTGAGGGAAAGCAAAACATTTCTGAGCAGCGTTTTCTAGTATCTCAGGTCTTCCCGGGCCAGGGATTGAACCCATGTCCTCTGCATTTGTAGCTGGATTCTTAACCACTGGATCACCAGGAAAGTCCTGGAATCTTTTTTCTAATATTTTCCATTCAAATTCATTTGGATGCAGAACCCATGGGTATGGATCACTAACGGTATAGCCTAGTGGGTGCGAAGTGGCTTCTCATAGTTTTGATCTGCATTTCCCTAGTGGCTAATGGTAATGAGCATCTTTTCATATACTTATGGACCTTTTACTTACCTTCTTTGGGGAGAGATTTATTCATATCCTCTGCCCATTTTTAAACTAGGTTGTCTTTTTAATTATTGAGCTGTAAGAGTCTTTAATATATTCTGTATACAAGTCCCTTATCAGACATAACAATGTGCAAAAATTTTCTCTCATTGTATATGTTGTCTTTTTACTTTCTTGTTGGCATTGCATTTTTATTTTTTTCCATAGTATTTGTTGATTTATCAACACATATTATTCCTTATTCCATTATTCTTATGTCATAGTTTCATAGTTCAGATTACAGTTCAATGACAAACATCCATGGAACTCAACCTGAAGAAATTCTTCACGTTGTGAAATCACTTTGCACTGTGAAAGATACCAGCCTTCCTCATCTCCTCAAAAATCTTTCATGGAATCATAATTTCTGTAGTAGTCTGCATATGCTTGCTTTCTTGGTTCAGCCACAGCAAACTTAGAGAAAGCTGTACCCCCGGAATACAGTGAATGCTCCAACAATCTGAAGTTTCGTCAAAGAACTGAAAGCCATGGTAGTTGTTCTCAGCATCAGCGTCCTTCCAGACTAACGGAGAAATGGACGGCCCCAAAAAGTGTTTAGTTTTGATGAACTCCAAGTTATTATTTTGTTGGTTCTGGTTTGGTGTCGTATCTAAGAAACCACTGCTGATCCAAAGTCCTAAAGATTTAACTCATGTGTTTTCTTGGTTTTATGGTTTTAGTTCTTACATTAAGGTCTCTGATTCATTTTGAGTTAAATTTTTGTGTGGTAGAGATTTGATTGATTTAAATTTTTTTTTCTCAGTCTTTTTCTTGAACTGAGTATACTGTATTTCAGTATTTCTTACTGAGAAGATATAGATACAGCAGAGGTGACTTCTAAAGTGGTAGTAAAAGTTTTTATAGAGAGCAATGTTGAATGAAGGATTAAGATGCTAAAATATATATTCTAAATTTAAGAGATTGGAGTCAGATTCCATGGAACCTATCTCCTACTACACATGTGAGCATTAGTTTAAATCCTCCCCATTTTAAATTGGTTTAGAATTGTGTGAAGTGCTAGGGACTGTCATAGAAACCAGTTTTATGTGTTTTATTGGTTGTAGCTGATGGACAGCTGTGATGGGCTTATTTTGTTTCTCCTCAGGAGTCTCTCTTTTTGGCTTGTCGGCCCTCTTGGTCCCTGGGAGCTTTGAGTCTCATTTGGAATTTGTGAAGTCCCTGTGTTTGGGGCCAGCACTGATCCACACAGCCAAATTTGCACTTGTCTTCCCTCTCATGTATCACACCTGGAATGGGATCCGACACTTGGTAAGTTAATTGTAGACTTGTATATTTTCTAGGTGAAAGGAATGGAGAGGCTCAGAGTATTCTCTTTCCTGGTCTGGGTTTAGTACTATTCTTAAAGTTAGTTGTGCTGGATGTTTGCTCAAGGGCCTCTTGGACAAAGCTAAACTAGATTGCCTGGGCACCGCCAGGCAGCACAGCTGGTGATGTAGCTGAGCATGGACATAGACCTGGCAGATACTTTCAGGGTCTCAGGGAACTCTGCAGTTTTAAAGGGTCAATACTAAAAGAGAGCCCTGAAGCCGGGCCACAATCTGGCATAGAAGGCACGTTTATCAGACAGAAATTGTTACCTGTTGTGTCAGGCACTGTTGTAGACATTGGAGGTTCGTTTATGAACTAGATAACATAGTTTCTGCTTTCAGTCTTAATCTTCCCATCAGGACAAAGTGACAAATCTGGAGTCAAGTATACTGATTATTATTAACTTGATATTGGATTATGTTAACTGCTTTTGTTTTTTATTTGTTTTGAACTACTAGAATGGGGCCAACTTCAACAAGAAACCGAGTGTCTAGGATCTCAATATTGGGTCTAGAAATCTTTTGACAGCCTGAACTCTGTCCAAGTTGCCTCCTATATGAGCTTGGGGTCAGTTCAAACTGGTGTCCCCTTCTTTTTATTAAGAAATCAAACCTGCCCCAGGTCAGGGATCAGTCTCTCCTACAGCACTTTAAGATTTATATTTTGTGGTCTCCCTACCCCTGGTCTTGCTTCCTTTGTCAGGAAGATAATTACAGCTTCCTTCTTTATGGTTTTCCATTATCTCTCGCCCTGAGCCATCTGTCAGTTGGATATTCTTGCCTTAATTTGACCTTTTGTAGCTTCCGCATTAGAGCTCAGAGACAAGCACTTTGTGAATTTTACACTGGTCCAGTAGACAGTTTAATGGAATCAGAAAAGTGAGAGACTAAATGACCTATTAAATTAAGTGTATCTATTAACTGTTCCCTGGGGCAGTGTTCAGTTTGATTCAAAATGACTTCATTTCCCTCAGGGGGAGGGGAGGCAGAGGGAGAGCATTTCCATTAATGACTTCTTATTCCAAACAGAATAAGCTTTATTGGAACAAAGCTCTCCAATAAAATCAGCTGATCAGCTTCCTCTCTTGGCATCCTGGCTCAGGCAGGGACTTGCCATATATTTGCTTTTGTCTCAGAATGGGGGGAGGGATGGGGAAGAGATTTTATAAAATGTCAGAACTCAGTCAGGGCTTTTCTTAAGCCCTTAAATCTGCTTTTGTTTGTTTTAGCAAGTCCTGGCTCTGAGTGTGGGACAGGATTTTGTTCTCTGTGACAATCCATAGTTCTTGCACTCTGAGCTTGATAATTGTGCTGTCAGAAGATCTAATGGAGCTCTATCCCCTGGTGGTCTGGTGGCTAGGATTCCTGGTTTTCATCCAGGCTACCTAGGTTCAGTTCCTGGGCAGGGAACTAAGAACTTTTCTCTAGGACTGCTCACTGCTGTCTCTCCAAGATCACATCCAGAACTTTCCCTGTACATTCATATTCATGTAAATGCACATCTACCCATACATTAAAAGAAAAAAAAAATCTAATGGAGTGGAGGGTGGAATTGATGAAAGAGAGTAGGAAGTGACAGGGTCTCTGATATGCTAGAGAATATCCCCCTATCACCACCACGCAGTAGAACTCAATATTTTTGTAAAGCATTGTACCTTTATTTTTGTGAAAGCACTGTGCCCCATGAATAGTATAAAAAGGCAAAAAGATATGACACTGAAAGATGAACTCCCCAGGTTGGTAGGTGCCCAATATACTACTGGAGAAGAGTGGAGAAACGACTCCAGAAAGAATGAAGAGCTAGAGCCAAAGCAAAAACAACACTCAGTTGTGGGTGTGACTGGTGATGGAAGTAAAGTCCAATGCTATAAAGAGCAGTACTGCGTAGGAACCTGGTCTTGTTTTTGCTGACTGCAAAAGTGAACATTGACATTTTAGGAATCAGTGAATTAAAATGGACTGGAATGGGTGGATTTAATTCAAGTGACCATTATATTTCCTACAAGAAAATATATGGGCAAGAATCCCTTAGAAGAAATGGAATAGCCCTCATAGTCAACCAAAGAGTCCAAAATACAGTACTTGGGTACACTCTCAAAAATGACAGAATAACCTCTGATTTCCAAGGCAAACCATTCAGTATCACAGTAATCCAAGTCTATGCCCCAACCAATAATGCTGAAGAAGCTGAAGTTGAACAGTTCTATGAAGACCTACAAGACCTTCTAGAATTAACACACAAAAAAGATGTCCTTTTCATTATAGGGGACTGGAATGCAAAAGTAGGAAGTCAAGAGATGCATTGAGTGACAGGCAAATTTGGCCTTGAAGTAAAAAAAAGAAGCAGGGCAAAGACTAACAGTTTTGCCAAGAGAACGCACTGGTCATAGCAAACACCTTCTTCCAACAACCTAAGAGAAGACTCTATACATGGACATCACCAGATGGTCAATACTAAAATCAGATTGATTATATTCTTTGCAGCCAAAGATGGAGAAGCTCTATACAGTCAGCAAAAACAAGACCAGGAGCTGACTGTGGCTCATATCGTGAACTCCTTATTGCAAAATTTAAGATTGAAAAAACTAAGGAAAGCCACTATAACATTCAGGTATGACCTAAATCAAATCCCTTATGATTATACAGTGGAAGTGACAAATAGATTTGAGGGATTAGATCTGATAGAGTGCCTGAAGAACTATGGATGGGGGTTTGTGACATGGTATAGGAGGCAGGGATCAAGACCATCCCCAAGAAAAAGAAATGCAAAAAGGCAAAATGGTTGTCTGAGGAGGCCTTAGAAATAGCTGAGAAAAGAAGAGAAGCTAAAGGCAAAGGAGAAAAGACAAGATATACCCATTTGATTTCAGAGTTCCAAAGAATAGCAAGAAGAGATAAGAAAGCCTAAATGATTAGTGCAAAGATACAGAGGAAAACAATAGACTGGGAAAGACTAGAGATCTCGATCTCTTCAAGAAAATTAGAGATACCAGGGGAATATTTCATGCAAAGATAAGCACAATGAAGGACAGAAATGGTATGGACCTAACAGAAGCAGAAGATTCTAAGAAGAGGTGGCAAGAATACACAGAAGAACTGTACAAAAAAGATCTTCATGACCCAGTTAACCATGATGGTGTGATCACTCATCTAGTGCCAGACATCCTGAAGTGTGAAGTCAAATGGGCCTTAGAAAGCATCACTATGAACAAAACTAGTGGAAGGGATGAAATTCCAGTTGAGCTACTTCAAATCCTGAGAGATGATGCTGTGAAAGGGCTGCACTCAATATGCCAGCAAATTTGGAAAACTCAGCAGTGGCCACAGGACTGGAAAAGGCCAGTTTTCATTCCAATCCACAAGAAAGGCAATGCCAAAGAATGTTCTAACTACCACACAATTGTATTCATCTCACACACTAGCAAAGTAATGCTCAAAATTCTCCAAGCCAGGCTTCAATAGTACATGAACCAAGAACTTCCAAATGTTCAAGCTGGTTTTAGAAAAGGCAGAGGAACCAGAGATCAAATTGCCAACATCCATTGGATCATTGAAAAAGCGAGAGAGTTACAGAAAAACATCTACTTCTGCTTCATTGATTATGCCAAAGCCTTTGTGTGGATCACAGCAAACTGGAAAATTCTGAAAGAGATGGGAATACCAGACCACCTTACCTGCCTCCTGAGAAATCTGCATGCAGGTCAAGAAACAACAGTTAGAACCAGACATGAACAACAGACTGGTTCCAAATTGGAAAAGGAGTATGTCACGGCTGTATATTGTCGCCATGTTTATTTAACTTATATGCAGAGTACATCTTGTGAAATGCCGGGCTGGATAAAGCACAAGCTGGAATCAAAATTGCTGGGAGAAACATCAATAACCTCAGACAGGCAGATGACACCACCCTTATGACAGAAAGGGAAGAGGAACTAAAGAGCCTGTTGATGAAAGTGAAAGAAAAGAGTGAAAAAACTGGCTTAAAACTCAACTTTCAGAAAACTAAGATCATGGCATCTGATCCTATCACTTCATGGCAAATAGATGGGGGAACAGTGGAAACAGTTAGAGGCTATTTTCTTGGGCTCCAGAATCACTGCAGATGGTGACTGCTGCCATGAAATTAAAAGATGCTTGCTCCTTGGGAGAAAAGCTACGACCAACCTAGATAGCATATTAAAAAGCAGAGACATTACTTTACCAACAAAGGTCTGTCTAGTTGAAGCTATGGTTTTTCCAGTAGTCGTGTATAGATGTGAGAGTTGGACCATAAAGAAAGCTGAGCACTGAAGAATTGATGCTTTTGAACTGTGGTATTGGGGAAGACTCTTGAGGGTCCCTTGGACTGCAGAGATCCAACCAGTCCTATCCTAAAGGAAGTCAGTCCTGAATATTCATTGGAAGGAATAATTCTGAAACCGAAACTTCAATACTTTGGGCCACCTGATGTGAAGAACTGACTCATTGGAAAAGACCCTGATGCTGGGAAAGATTGAAGGTGGGAGGAGAAGGGGACGACAGAGGATGAGATGGTTGGATGGCATCACTAACTTGATGGATATGAGTTTGAGCAAGCTCTGGGAGTTGGTGATTGACAGGGAGGCCTGGCGTGCTGCAGTCCATGGGGCTGCAAAGAGTTGGACAAGACAGCACCTGAATTGAACTGTTCCTTTATAAGCAAGCAACTGTTTGTCTCTTTGACTCCTAATCTTATCTAGGTAGAAGCTGTTTGACACCTGAGGTAGGGACATCTTCTCATCTTGAGTTTTTTCCAGGTTCTAATTTTTCTCTGAAGCATTCTTAAAGTTTGGGCTCATTTGTGTTGATGCAGTCATGTGTGGAAAGTGTGAAACCTGAAGACTCTGCTTTAGCCCTAGGGGAGCTTTTAGAATACGATATGTTGATATCCCTAGGGCACAAGAGAGTCTTAAGTCAGTGTTTAAACTGTGTTTTTTGACTCAGTGGGTAGAAAATCTATTTAGTGGGTTGCTACCAAGAAAAAAGAACTTTAAATAGAATATACCATACAGAATATATCAACAAGGTGTTGATAAATATTGCTTATTGTTTCATGAACTTTTATGTATAAAATATATATGCACAGACATTGGGTAGTAACTAAAAAGATATTTCTTAGTCATGGGGGTGTGTCACAGTCAAAACAAAATTGAGTCTAGATCCCAAGAGGTTTTTTTGGCCATGCCTTGAATCATGTGGGATTATTTCTCCGCCAGGGATTGAACCCCCTGCATTGGAAGTGTGGAGTCTTAACCACTGGATCACTAGGGAAGTCCCAAAGAGTATTTTTTTAAAAAATACTCATTCCCCCAGTGGACAAATGTTGCTTTCCAAAGAGGATTCAGTGGTTGAGTCTATCTAAAAAACCATGTAGTATATCCCCATTTTGGAGATTTAACAGTGTGCATTAGTAAATTGTTTGAGATGTCTTGTATTTAAACGTTTGCCAAATTTATTTGACCTCAGAACTTGAGTAATGCCTTTTAACATTCTGAGGAACTAGTTTTTGGAGAAACACACTTTGGAAAACCTTGATCTGGTTTTGTTGTCACGAGGGAAAGTTTTATCTGCTTAGTCTGAAAGTTCTTATATAGGGACTGAGGATCGATTCCCTTTACTGTCATTGGGATAAGAGGGTGGCAGGTACTGTATTATGGGTTTCGAGGAAGGCGAAGGTCACGAATAAGGGGGAAGTGCTTTTCTCTAGAATCGTGCTGAGAGAAATTGCCTGTTTCTAAGTGGAGTTCTTTTCTGAGAAAGGCACTATGAGTGACCAGGACCCTGATTGCTAATATTTTTTTCCTTACTTTTACAGATGTGGGATCTAGGAAAAGGCCTGACGATTTCCCAGCTACACCAGTCTGGAGTGGTTGTCTTGGTTCTTACTGTGTTGTCCTCGGTAGGGCTGGCAGCCATGTGAAGAGCTGAAGTTCCCAGCGTCATCATCCTGCAAATGATCACATTGACCTGTCTTCCTGTTTGTTACTCTTGTCTTTGGCCAGGGCAAAGTTATCCTGATTTGTTTAGACCCTTCTTTGCTTGCAGATCCCCTTGGAGCTCAGCAGTAGAGTATGTTACATAACCAAAGTGGTGGAAAAGGGTCCAGTTTTCCCCTTATTTATAAGGATGGAATGACTGCAAAAAACTCCCTTTTCTTGCCCCCAGCTTGCAGCCTACTCTGGGCTTGGGAGCCTTCTTTCTCTCTCCATGTCAGGCCTTGATTTATGCTGAGGGTCAGCCTTTGGCTCCTTCTTCCTGAGACAGTGGAAACAATGCCAGCTCTGTGGCCTCTGCCATGGGGACTGGGAGTGGGGATTCGGGTGCCACTGCCTGTGGGATGCTGGCTCAAAGGACAATTCTGTCCATTGGTCAGAGCCCAGGGTCTTTAGCACCCACACAGTGTGACTGACTGAAGGAGAGGGGTGGGGGTGGAGGAGAATTAGCCTGTCCCAGCTAGCGGGAGATAAAAAGAGTTAAGTTGGCTCTTGAAGCAGGTCTTGGGGAGAAGATATATAGCTTTTGATGCAAGAAGATGATCCAGATAATTATCATTGAATCTATTGCAGGTTATTTCTTTTCTTTGTGTTTCCAGAAAAACCAAACCTCTTACTGTCATGTTTTCTAATCCAGAATCACATGACATCTTTTTCTGAAACTGAATTAAAATTATTATTTTGCCTTTGACTCTTGTTGATATTTTGAGAAACCAAGACAGTGGCGATTGGGGAGGAGGAGCCAGTTTCCTCCGTCCCCTGTCTGGTCTCCCTCTGGTCTGCTCCTTTCAGGTGTTTGCATCCCCCAATCCTACCTTCCTCAGGAGGGAAGCAGTTTGTCTTTTAAGTGAGCACTGGAAAAATTATCAGGGAAGCAAATAAAAGTAGCTAGGGATTTAATATGCAGAGACCTCAGAGAAGAAAGGAAGTTAAGCTGCGGAGAGCTTTTAGTTTGTTATAAACTCCAAAATCCCACTGAGAATGGATTATAAACCCCAAGGTACAGATCAGCAAGTTACAATCCAGTGGAACAATGGAAGGGATGGCCAAGGGACCATGAGCTAAGTATGTAAATCAGGGGAGAGTAGAGGTAAGAAAGAGATTGTTGGAAAGCTGACAGACATTTATGGTTTTATGAGAAAACTTGCTACTTCCTAATCTATATAGGCCGGGCTTTTGGGTCCCTAATTCCCTGTGGCAGAAGTGGTGTTTTAATAGTCTCTGGACACTGGGTGACTGATCTCCTTAGTTTGTCACTCTCAGCCAGCCAGTCACAGCTGTGGGTTGTAGAGAAGGAGCAGTGGCTGTGATTGGTGTCAGTTGGAGAGGAAGACCTTGCTTGGCTGCCTCGTCGGTCTACATTCCAGCTCCCAGTAGTCCTTGGCTTTAAGTGAGGATCACTTCTCCCTTTTTGCCATCCTGGCCCTGAGAAGTCTTTGGAGCCTTTTCCAGCGCACACCGGGGCTTCTCTTGCGGCTCAAACAGTAAAGAATCTGTCTGCCATGCAGGAGACCTGCGTTCAATCCATGGGGCGGAAAGGTCCCCTGGAGAAGGGCATGCTAACCCACTCCAGTATTCTTGCCTGGAGAATCCCATGGACAGCGGAGCCTGGTGGGCTACAGTCCAGGGGTCACAAAGAGTCGGACAGGACTGAGCGAGTAACACGCTTTCCAGGGTACAGCAAATGTCCTCTGTGCTTGTCCTGAGTGAGGCGTCCATGTTCACAAGGGAACAGCTGGGTACTGGAACTGGGAAAGGTTTGGCAAGTGCATTAAGTGTAACAGCCAGTGCCAGGAAGGTGCAGAACAGGGATAAAGAGAAACAAATTAGAGGTTGGGAAATGGATAGTGGACTTTTTTGGTGGCTTCTTAATCATTCAGGGGAGTGGCAGAGTGGTCGTCATATGTGTAATTCTGCCCCAACTTTCTACCTAACTGTCATCCTTTATTTTTCTTCTCTGTCTTCTCATCACTTCTGTATCTTCAATTTTCAAATTATATTTGTATTTTTGCTTAAGTTTTGCTTTTACAACTCTTAGCTCCCCTGTGTGTTTTGTCAGATCAGATATGATCTCTTAGACAAGGGTCATGTCTCCTACCCTGGCATCCTGTTGCTTTTCTTGCCCACCTTCAAATGCACATACACCTGCTCTACTCTAAATGGTTGTACTTCTGACTTTGAAGTTGTAGTTCATGCTCGGGATGAAAAGTGAGGGGGGTAGGAGTGACAGACTGGTTATTTGAGGTTTTGTTTGATATAATTCAGACCATCTTCCTCCTGGTCTTGTCTTTTCTGGAGTAAAATCCTTGTTCTACCCCGAGCCACTGTCATGTTGCTTTCCCTACTTATTTCCTCCAACCCTTCTAATTATGGGTTAAAAGAGGCGGCCAGAATGATCTTGGATGGCCTCGGCCCGCAACAGCTTAGAGCAGGGCTTGGTACCCCAGCCAGAGATTGAGGCTGGGCCGCAGCGTTGAAAGCACCAAATCCTAGCTACTAGACCAGTGGTCACTGGCAAGGGCCCTGGCCCTTCGACTTTGCAGAAAAGAACTTCCACAAAGAAAGTAGTGAAGCAAGTAAGGTATTTATTATTAAGAGGAAGAAGTATAATACATGTGGATAGGCACACAGGCAGAAATGTCCCAGACTTGCGCCCTCAGAGCAGTTTGAATTACTTTTATGAGGCATTTCTTGTTGGTTTCCTTTGGCCAATCATTTTGATTTGTCTGGTTCACAGTCCATATGTGGTATATCAGGATTCTCTCATGTGAGTGCACACATCTCTTAGCCAAGGTAGATTCTACTGAAGAGGTGTTATGGGTAGAGCATCCCTTGACATTGCTCCCCGCTTTTGCCTGCAAGGAGCCCAGGTGCATGTGTGGTCGGGGAGGTCTCCTGACTTCTGGAGTGAGAAATAAGTGGTTTGAGCAGGGCCCAGCCTCCTCTTTTAATTGTCCTGCTATTCTCATCTTGGAGTGGAGTTTCAGTTTATTGGGAATGAATCTCCAATCGCTTTACCTTGGGGGAGTTGGCGGGGGGGTGCCCATCTACCTCCTACCTCAAAAGCTGAAGAGAAAAATTTCAAGTCAGTAAAAGATTCAACATACAATGTTACTAACACAAAATTGTAAAGCAACTATACTCCAATAACAAAAAAAGAAAGTTTTATTTTACAAATTTGCATTTATTCCCATCTGTAATTTCCCTGATTAAGGCGGGATCTTCCTTAAGTCACTCAGTCCCTTACTCCCTTACGGAGTTGCAGGTTTGCATTTCTGGATCTCGGCTACATTACGGCCTGCACAGGGCAAATACGGGCTTCCAGATGGGCACTTTGGAGAGTTGAGTGGGCTTTGGGGACCTGGAGTGTGACCTGCAGAGGGATGTGAGCTTTGGAGTTGATCTGGGGAATTGAGATTTGAGGCTGGGGAGTTTGGGATTATGGTGGGACTTGGTGCTTGTTGTACAGTCTTTGTGATAGACTTCCTGAGTTTCTTCTGACTGTCTGGATCATGGGGCTGTCAGGGGTAGAACAGAAGAGACAATTATGTTTCCAGTTAGGCCTAGATCATTCTCAGTGCATCTCAGTTCTAAGTCCCCCTTCTCCGTATCCCGTGGGCAAGAAGTCAGGTTTCAAATAAGAGTTAAACTGGCACCGTTGACCTCCCCTTGAGATCAGATCACTTTGTACTGTGTGGAGGGGGGAGATGGGTTGGGGGGAGATGTCCTTAGCTTATCCCTTCAGGCCGGAGAGGCTGCTTAAGGACTAAGCAGGATAAGACAGTTGGTTAAAGGTTCCCCCTGCTGGGATTGTGGTAGTATAACAGTAGGCATTTCTGAGGTTGAAAAGAAAATAGGATTGAGGTTAGTTAAGTGGAAGAAGTAGATACCTTGCCTAAGATTTCAGGACGCAACCCATTGGAGGCCTTAAGTAAATCAGGATTTTTCTGTATCCATTTGGTGAGGGAGGCCGCACCAGCAGCGGTACGGGAGGTCAGGATCGCCCGAGCAGGGGGTATCTTCAGAGGCATTTGCCAGGTGCCCATGAAGGAGCCCCAAGGACTTGCCTAAATGGAAAAAGATGGGATTCCTCAACAGGACTTCTCACTCCCAGTAACTGGCCTATTGGCAGGTCTGTTCTATTCATCTTGGTTCCATCTTTTTACCTTTGGGATTGTCATGAGACAAGACTGAAAGCATAACTTACCCAATCTCTTCCCCCTTTCTCATTTAGTTGGCCCTAATTTTTTAATCCCCTTTACCTCCACTGGCTTAAACTCTACATCCTTAGCCTAAGTTTGGCAGGGTACCCACTATATAAGTGTTTTCACCTGAAGGTGTTCATTTTATACCAATCATTCATCAACTTAAGGAGTTCTGGGTGTTAAACCTATCCTATTGGCTGGAAGTTTGGGAGCACTCTTGTTACAATGTGAATTAGATTGCACTTTAATTTTCCAAGCAGTGGCTGCAGGAGATTACAAGTCTTCCCTGTTACTCCAGTTCTATGCCTTGGTTCTTTAACTTTCTAGATGAGAATGGAGAAGAGTATCTCACCTTGGAACGGGGCACTGAAGGCAGCAGATGACCACGATCATCGGCAATAATCTGAGTGTAGCCTTCATGGGAAGAAATCCTCTGGGGTAGAGGTGGAGAGAAGAGTGCTTGTAAAGATGGAGTGGAGAAGTGGGAGAGAGTATCTGAAGGGCTTAAATTTGAATTAAGGGCTGAGGGAGAGGAGGCTATGGGAATCCAAAGGATGCTGAAAGAGTTTAGGTGCCAGTGAATTACACAGACTGTGACATAAAGAGGGTGCACTGAAGCTGGAATACCTCTTTTGTTGGCTTGGCAAGAGACCAGTTCTGCAGATACTTGGGTGAGAAAGGTTTTTCGTACTGTGGAGAGAAAGATGAGAATCCCTGAGACTCAGGTCCCAAGCCCAGGAAATGATAGCTAGACACAGTTCTTTAGATTTGAAGACCAAAGGCATGAACAACCATGCTAAGGAAGCTTTAACTCACTGCAGAGAGGATGTAAGTCGTTTTGTCTGTGTGCTGTTCACCATGAAGCCACTAGCCACATGTGGCTCTTGAGCCCTGGAAATGTCCAAATTGAGGTGCTTTGTATGTATAGTCGATCCTTGAACATCATGGGTTTGAACTGTGCAAGTTAACTTACAGATTTTTAAAAAAAAATATGTACTATAGTACTACATGATCAATAGTTGGTTGAATCTGTGAATGTGGAACCCTGGATATGGAGGGCTGACTGTTAAGTTAGATGCAGATGTTCAATTGTGTGGGGATCTGTGCCCTAATCCCTGCCTTGTTCAAGGGTCAGCTATATAAAGAATACTGGATTTTGAAGATTTGGTACCAAAAAAAAAAGGGAAAGTGAAACATCTAATTATAATTTAAAATATTGATTAAATGTTAGAAATAATATTTTGGACTTACCAGGCTAAATTAAATATATTATTAAAATTAACTTTCTTTTAAATGTTTCTCATGTAGCTACCAACCCACTCCAGTACTCTTGCCTGGAAAATGCCATGGACGGAGCCTGGTAGGCTGCAGTCCATGGGGTTGCTAAGAGTCGGACATGACTGAGCGACTGCACTTTCACTTTTCACTTTCATGCATTGGAGAAGGAAATGGCAACCCAGTGTTCTTGCCTGGAGAATCCCAGGGACGGCGGAGCTTGGTGGGCTGCCGTCTATGGGGTCGCACAGAGTCGGACACAACTGAAGTGACTTAGCAGCAGCAGCGTGTAGCTACTAGAAAATTTGAAGTTACATTTGTGATTCACATTTTTTTTTTATTATAGTGCTGGTCTAGACCAGGGGTCAGCAAACTCTGCCCATGGGCCAAATCTATCCTCCTGTCTGTTTTGAGATGGCCTGAGAAAGCTAAGAATTGTTTTTAATAGATGAACATTTGCAGTTGATTTGATAAAAGGGAACACTTTGTATCCCAATTAAGCAAAAATATTTTCTCATCCTATAAGAATTTCATTCTTTTCATTAATAATATAAAAAAATTATACTGTTATTATATTTTGAATTTTGTCAAAAATTTTATGGAAAATGTTTTCTTTCATACCTATATAGTATCTTTGATTTTATCACTTGGCCCACAGAGCCTAAAATATTTCCTCTGTGGCCCTTTACAGAAAAAAATTTGCTGACCTCTGGGTTAGAGCCTACAAACTTGACCCAGAAATACTTATTACTTGTCCTTTGGGCCCTCCCTCCCTTGAGAGCCAAGGAGGTTTAAAAAAAAAAAATACTATCACATAGCACTTTTTTTTTTGGTCTATTCAGTAATCAGAATCCTATGGGAGGGGTCAGGCAAAAGGTAGACTCTGGAAGGCAAAATTAAATGTTAAAGAAATGGAAAAAAAGTGCTTACCTGGTTGGCACTGTAGTTAGTGGCCATGATCCTGCCACTTCCTGCTGTTTACCTTTGTTGCCTGGCAACCGCAGAAGGCAGCCCTTCCAAGACCGCCTCGCAGTTAGCAGGGGCTGCCTTTTGCTTCTTGTTATTCATTTTATTGGCTGATAGTGCCCCCAGTATTCTCCCCTGAAACTTAGGTGCATTTTCATTTTAGAGATGTGAGGGACAGAGTAAATAAATATGGGAAAATTGGTTGAATAGCAGCCCTGACTTTTTTCTGGCATAACTTCCAGGTTCTTAGCATGCTTAAGAACTTCCAGGTTGTCTTTGACTGGGCTCTTTAACCACCCTTGCAAATCATGGAGCGCCAAGAGCAGTATTTGTTCATTGGGTGGAGTGGTGTAATGTACAGCATACTTTAGAGCCAGAGACTGCGGTTTGAGTCCTTATTTAACACAGGAACATAGGAGCTGTGTGATATAAAGCAATTGACATCCCTTCACTGAATTTCTGTAGTCATTTGTATTGTGAAGATAATATAATAGAACCTTTACAGGGGAAATAAGGTAAAGTGAATAAAGTATCTAGATAATGTCATAGTATGGTAGGTGCTCAGTGCTGCCAGGACCCTCTTTATAGGGTCCACTATTTCATTTTCTCAGACAGAAGGAAGAAATGATGTTCTATAAAGCAGTTGATTCAGATTTGTCCCTAGAAAGAAAAACGTATCTTATCCTTTGTCCTTAATTGACTCCTGTCTCTGCCATCACTCTCTAGAATTATAGGGCCTAAGTATACAGGTGCTTGATGTTGGCTGGGTTGAGGTGGAATCCGGAGTTGGTGCCATGAGATTGAGCAGGGGTGATGAAAGAAGGCTCTAGTGTGGAAAGTAACAGATTTAGAAGATTAAGTGGTGGTGCTAGGACACAAACCTAATACCTGTTGGATTAGGCAACCTCTCTGAGACTCATCTAAAATGACATTATCAGACCCATCTACTGGATTGTTAGGGAGAAAGTGGAATTGTGCTTTCTGAATTATAAAGTTTATGTGTAAGGTGTTAAGTTGAAAGGAAAAACACTAAGAAATAAGTTGTCAAAAAAAAAAAAAGATCATTGAGAACCAGGAGAGCATTTTAACAGATGATTGTCAATCCTTCTCCCTTCCTTCTTCCCCCAAAATCCTTATCCCAATCAATACACCAAGTACAAGAACACTCATACACTTCTAGGGATGGAGTTAAAAGCAGCTCTTATTTTAGAGCTAGTTAACAGATGGACAATATGAACTCTGGAAACGAGACTCATGTGTTTAGTCTCTGTGGTTCTCGTCACTCTCTAGAGTGATAATATTTTGGTCCCTAAAGCCATGATTATAGTTAAGCAAGCATCATCTCTCTTAGAACTTCTATCTTTAGCTGGTATGCTTTTCTGATAGAGATGTAATGTTATACATTGCACTCTTATTTTTTAATTAACTAGTTTTTGTTTCATTAAAAAAATGTACATGGGGAAAAAAGTTTCATATTTACAGAAAGGTATTTAATGAAAAGCAAATCTCCATCTGACTTCAGCTCCCATTCTTGCTCCTCAGAGGCAGTTACTGTTATTATTTTCTTGTGTCTCCTTCCAGAAATGTTATATGCATTCTTAGACTAATGGGAGTAAACTGTCCACATTGTTTGGTGATTTGCTTTTTTGACCATTTTGGGGAATTTTTTCATAGCAGTGTATTATTTCATTTTAGGGTATATCGTCATGTATTTTTTAGTCTAATTTAGATGATATTTAGGTCATCTCCAGTCTTTTGCTGTTACATAGATTGCTGCAATGAAAATCTGTATCTACCTATATATCATTATGAGTATAAAGATATATATATATATAGAGAGAGAGAGAGAAGCATATGTCTTTATGAATGTATGTGACTAGTAGGATAAATTTCTAAAAGTGAACTGCTAACTCACAAGGTTTATGAACTTAGAACACTAGTTCATTGCAGTTCAGTTCAGTCGCTCAGTCGTGTCTGACTCTTTCTAGTAGACAATATCAAATTGCTACTCAGAGACACTGTGCCAGTTTATACATCTGCCAGTGGTATACTTGAGTGCCTAGTTCTCTACTCCCTTTCCAACACTATACCAATGGTCCTCCTGTTTGTGTCCACCTGATAATAAGAACTGATGCGGTTACTATATGCCATGCACAGTCTTCTTTACTTTTTATTATATTTTCTCATTTTATTCTCACAAGAACCCAGGCCTAGGAAACAAGAGAATGTACAGTAAGGAGCAGAACCAGGATTCACTCTCAAGTATTCTAACTCTAGAGCAATCAGTTTTAACCATTATACTGTATTGCTTCTTAAACTGTAGCTGAAACATGGTGTTTCATTTTTTACATTTTCGTTTCTTTAATTATGAGGTTTTTTTTCCCCCTTATGTTTATATGTTTTATTTCTTTTTTTTCCTTGAAAATAGCCTTTCATGTTTTTTGCCATTTGCTATTGGGCTATTGATCATTTATATTAACTGTTTGAAACTTTATTGAGGAAATCAGCCCTTTGTCAACTATGTTACAAACACTTTCCTGGAGGTTTTCATTTAATTTTTGTTTGTGGCTTTTCTTTTTTTTGTTGCCACAGACATCTTCTTAATATTTATGTAGTCAAATATGTTACTCTTTCTTTCTGTGCTTCCAGATCTTATGCTTTGAAAGCTTTTTGTAAATTCCAGTATTTATCCCTGGTTAGTTTTTACATTTAAATTTTTGTTCTGTTGGTATTTGTTTTGGTGACTAAACTGAGGTCAGTCTCTAGATACCTAACTGGTTGTCTCAGCATCATTTACTGAATAAGCTGTCTTTTCCAACTGACTTGAAATACCACCTTTATTGTATTCCCTAATATTTGGGTCTGTTTTTGGATCCTCTAGCCCATTCTTCTGTGGAGAGAGGTGACCATTTTAGGTTATTTGTGTCCCTTTAATATCCATGGTTCAATCCTGCCTGAGTCCTATGTGAATTCTCCACTTAGTATTTCACAGACACTTACAGGAATTGTAATATAGTTAGTAACAGGCATTTACAGGCTTCTAATAAAATTGTATTAAATTTTAGCCTTTCTTCTGATTGACTGGTTGACTTCAGGTACAGCTGTTGTTCTTTCATCAAACCAACTCTTTCAAAGTTAGAAGGGCTCATAAAGGCCCCACTGAAAAAATATGCCTCACAATATTTTCATGATTTAATTCAGTTCTCTAATGCCTGAAATCAGACCGTTCAGTTCAGTTCAGTTCAGTTCAGTTGCTCAGTCATGTCAGACTCTGCGACCGCACAGACTGCAGCATGCCAGGTTTCCTGTCCATCACCAACTACCAGTGGTTACTCAAACTCATGTCCATCAAGTAAGTGATGCCATCCAACCATCTCATCCTCTGTCGTCCCCTTCTCCTTCGCCTTCAATCTTTCCCAGCATCAGAGTCTTTTCTAATGAGTCAGTTCTTCACTACGGGTGGCCAAATATTGGAGTTTCAGCTACAGCATCAGTTCTTCCAATTAATATTCAGGACTGACTTCCTTTAGGATGGACTAGTTGGATCTCCTTGCAGTCCAAGGGACTCTCAAGAGTCTTCTCCAACACCACAGTTCAAAAGCATCAATCCTTTGGTGCTCAGTTTTCTTTATAGTCCAACTCTCACATCCATACATGACTATTGGAAAAGCCATAACTTTGACTAGACAGAACTTTGTTGGCAAAGTAATGTCTCTTGCTTTTTAATATGCTGTCTAGCAATGGTATGGACCTAACAGAAGCAGAAGATATTAAGAAGAGGTGACAAGAATACATAGAAGAACTGTACAAAGGGATCTTTATGACCCAGATAATCACGAAGGTGTGATCACTCACACTCACCTAGAGCCAGACATCCTGGAATGTGAAGTCAGGTGGGCCTTAGGAAGCATCACTATGAACAAAGCTAGTGGAAGTGATGGAATTCCAGTTGAGCTATTTCAAATCCTAAAAGATGACGCGGTGAAAGTGCTGCACTCAATATGTCAGCAAATTTGAAAAACTCAGCAGTGGCCACAGGACTGGAAAAGGTCAGCTTTCATTCCAATCCCTAAGAAAGGCAGTGCCAAAGAATGCTCAAACTACTGCACAATTGCACTCATCTCATACGCTAGCAAAGTAATGCTCAAAATTTTCCAAACAAGGCTTCAGCAATACGTGAACCGTGAACTTCCAGTTGTTCCAGAAAAGGCAGAGGAACCAGAGATCAAATTGCCAACACCCACCGGATTATCGAAAGAGCGAGAGAGTTTCAGAAAAACATCTATTTCTGCTTTATTGACTATGCCAAAGCCTTTGACTGTGTGGATCACAATAAACTGGAAAATTCTGAAAGAGATGGGATACCAGATCACCTGACCTGCCTCTTGAGAAACCTGTATGCAGGTCAGGAAGCAACAGAACTGGACATGGAACAACAGACTGGTTCCAAATAGGAAAAGGAGTATGTCAAGGCTGTATATTGTCACCTTGCTTATTTAACTTATATGCAGAGTACATCATGAGAAACGCTGGGCTGGAAGAAGCACAGGCTGGAGGAAGCACAAACTGGAATCAAGATTGCCGGGAGAAATATCAATAATCTCAGATATGCAGATGACACCACCCTTATGGCAGAAAGTGAGGAAGAAATAAAGAGCCTCTTGATGAAAGAAAAGTTATGACCAACCTGGACAGCATATTAAAAAGCAGAGATGTTACTTTGCCAGCAAAGGTCCTTGACTATAGTCAAGGCTATGGTTTTTCCAGTAGTCATGTATGGATGTGAGAGCTGGACTATAAAGAAAGCTGAGTGACGAAAAATTGATGCTTTTGAACTGTGGTGTTGGAGAAGATTCTTGAGAGTCCCTTGGACTGCAAGGAGATCCAACCAGTCCATCTTAAAGGAGATCAGTCCTGGGTGTTCATTGGAAGGACTGATGTTGAAGGTGAAACTCCAATACTTTGGCCACCTGATGCAGAGAGCTGACTCATTGGAAAAGACCCTGATGGGGTAAAGATTGAGGGCAGGAGGAGAAGGGGACGACAGAGGATGAGATGGTTGAATGGCATCACTGACACAATGGATGTAGGTTTGGGTGGACTCTGGGAGTTGGTGATGGACAGGGAGGCCTGGTGTACTGTGGTTCATGGGGTCGCAAAGAGTCAGACGCGTCGCAAAGAGTCAGACGCGACTGAGTGACTGAACTGGAACTAGGTTGGTCATAGATTTCCTTCCAAGGAGCAAGTCTCTTTTAATTTCATGGCTGCAATCACATCATCTGCAATGATTCTGGAGCCCCCAAAATAAAGTCTGTCACTGTTTCTATTGTTTCCCCATTATTTGCCATGAAATGATGGGATCAGATGCCATGATCTTAGTTTTCTGAATGTTGAGTGTTTTTTTTTCCATTTATTTTTATTAGTTGGAGGCTAATTACTTTACAACATTGCAGTGGTTTTTGTCATACATTGAAATGAATTAGCCATGGATTTACATGTATTCCCCATCCCGATCCCCTCCTCCCACCTCCCTCTCCACCTGATCCCTCTGGGTCTTCCCAGTGCACCAGGCCCGAGCACTTGTCTCATGCATCCAACCTGGGCTGGTGATCTGTTTCACCCTAGATAATATACATGTTTCGATGCTGTTCTCTTGAAACATCCCACCCTCGCCGTCTCCCACAGAGTCCACAAGACTGTTCTATACATCTGAGCCTCTTTTTCTGTTTTGCATATAGGGTTATCGTTACCATCTTTCTTTTTTTTTTTTTTTTAAATGTATTGTTGTATTTTTATTTTTGTGCCAGGTCTTCCTTGGAGTTTACAGATTTTCTCTAGTTGCTGCAAGTGGAGTCTACTCTCGAGTTGCAGTTCGAGGGCTTCTCATTGTAGTAGCATCTCTTGCTTAGCGTGGACTCTCGGGCACTCCAGCTTATTAGTTGTGGCCCCTGGGCTTAGTTGCCCCTGGGCATGTGGGATCTTCCCAGACAGGGGATTGAACCTGTGTCCTCTGCATTACAAGGCAGATTCTTAACCACTGGACCACCAGGGAAGCCCTCGTTACCATCTTTCTAAATTCCATATATATGTGTTAGTATACTGTAATGGTCTTTATCTTTCTGGCTTACTTCACTCTGTATAATGGGCTCCAGTTTCATCCATCTCATTAGAACTGATTCAAATGAATTCTTTTTAATGGCTGAGTAATATTCCATGGTGTATTTAAGCCAACTTTTTCACTCTCCTCTTTCACTTTCATCAAGAGGCTCTTTAGTTCTTCTTCAGTTTCTGCTATAAGGGTGGTGTCATCTGCATATCTGAGATTATTGATATTTCTCCTGGCAATCTTGATTCCAGCTTGTGCTTCATCCAGCCCGGCATTTTGCATGATGTACTCTGCATATGAGTTAAATAAGTAGCATGGCAATATGCAGCCTTGGTGTACTCCTTTCCAGATTTGGAAACAATCTGTTGTTCCACGTCCAGTTATAATTGTTACTTCTTGACCTGCATACAGATTTCTCAGGAGGCAGGTCAGGTGGTCTGATATTCCCATCTCTTTAAGAAGATGGTATTCCAATCTCTTTCCACAGGTTGTTGTGATCCACATAGTCAAAGGCTTTGGTGTAGTCAATAAAGCAGAAGTAGATGTTTTTCTGGAAGTCTCTCATTTTTTTGATGATCCAATGGATGTTGGCTATTTGATCCTCTGTCTTTTCTAAATCCAGTTTGAACATCTGGAAGTTCTCGGTTCATGTCCTAATATTGAAGCCTGGCTTGGAGAATTTTGAGCATTACTTTGCTAGCATGTGAGATGAGTGCAGTTGTGCAGTAGTTTGAACATTCTTTGGCATTGCCTTTTTGGGAGTCGAATGAAAACTGACCTTTTCTAATCCTGTGGCCACTGCTGAGTTTTCCAAATTTGCTGGCATATTGAGTGCATCCCTTTCAAAGTATCATTTTTTAGAATTTGAAATAGCTCAACTGGAATTCCATCCCCTCCACTAGCTTTGTTTGTAGTGATGTTTCCTAAGGCCCACTTGACTTCACACTCCAGAATGTCTGGCTCTAAGTGAGTGATCACACCATCATGGTTATCTGGGTCATGTTGATCTTTTTTGCATAGTTCTTCTGTGTATTCTTGCCACCTCTTCTTAATATCTTCTGCTTCTGTTAGGTCCATACAATTTCTGTCCTTTATTGAGCCCATTTTTGCATGAAATGTTCCCTTGGTATCTCTAATTTTCTTGAAGAGATCTCTAGTCTTTCTCATTCTATTGTTTTCCTTTATTTCTTTGCATTGATCATTGAGGGAGGCTTTCTTATCTCTCCTTGCTATTCTTTGGAACTCTCATTCAAATGGGTATATATTTCCTTTTCTCCTTTGTCTTTACTATTTCTTCCATTCTAAGCTATTTGTAAGGCCTCCTCAGACAACCATTTTTCCTTTTTGCATTTTTTTTTTTCTTGGGGATGGTCTTGATCACTGCCTCCTATACCATGTCATGAACCTCCATCCATAGTTCTTCAGGTACTCTGTTTATCAGACCTAATCCCTTGAATGTATTTGTCACTTCCACTGTATAATTATAAGGGATTTGATTTAGGTCATACCTGAATGGTCTGGTGGTTTTCCCTACTTTCTTCAATTTAAGTCTGAATTTGGCAATAAGGAGTTCATGATCTGAGCCACAGTCAGCTCCCAGTCTTGTTTGTGCTGACTGTATAGAGCGTCTCCATCTTTGGCTGCAAAGAATATAATTAATCTGATTTTGGTATTGACCATCTGGTGATGTCCATGTGTAGAGTCTTCTCTTATGCTGTTGGAAGAGGGTGTTTGCTATGACCAGTGTGTTCTCTCGGCAAAACTCTGTTAGCCTTTGCTCTGCTTCATTTTGTACTCCCAGGCCAAACTTTCGTGTTACTCCAGATATCTCTTGACTTCCTACTTTTGCATTCCAGTCCCCTATAATGAAAAGGACGTCTTTTAGTTTTTTGTGAAGGTCTTGTAGGTCTTCATACACCGTTCAACTTCAGCTTCTTCAGCATTACTGGTTGGGGCAGAGACGTGAGATTACTGTGATACTGAATGTTTTGCCTTGGAAACGAACAGAGATCATTCTGTCATTTTTGATATTGCACCCAAGTACTGCATTTCAGACTCTTTGGTTGTCTATGAGGGCTATTCCATTTCTTCTAAGGGATTCTTGCCCACAGTAGTAGATATAATGATCATCTGAGTTAAATTCACCCATTCCAGTCCATTTTAGTTCACTGATTCCTAAAATGTCAATGTTCACTCTTGCCATCTCTTGTTTGGCCATTTCCAATTTGCCTTGATTCATGGACCTAACATTCCAGGTTCCTATGCAGTATTGCCCTTTACAGCGTCAGACTTTGCTTCCATCACCAGTCACATCCACAACTGGGTTTATTTTTACTTTGACTCCGTCTCTTCGTTCTTTCTGGAGTTATTTCTCCACTGATCTCCACTAGCATACTGGGCACCTACCAACCTGGGGAGTTCATTTTTCAGTCTCCTATCTTGTTGCCTTTTCATACTGTTCCTTAGACCATGAGGAAATCTTTTATTTGGATTGGGATCATCTGCCGTTGAACAACAAATTTACTTTGTGTCTAGAGGAAATGTATAAACTGTATAATTGAGGGCAGTTACCACCTTGAGCACTGGAATCAGATTGCCTGGATTAAATTCTAGTTCTGCCTAAATGTGTGACTTTGGATAAGTTAGTTTATCTTCCTGGATCTGAGTGCCCTTATGGTGTGAAACGAGCATAATTTTAGTTTTGAGCATTAAACATATGTAACATGTCTAGTAGGTGCTTGATGCATAGTAAGTGTTCAATAATTTTAGCATTATTATTGGCTCAAGACTGCCCAGTAAAAAGAAGTACATATTCAGGTTACCTGAAACAGAAAAGGGGGGAGTTTATTATAAAGTTATATGATATTTATAACAGATTTCAAAAGTAGAAAGTATAGTTTGGACCTCAGAGGGTATTAGAATCTGGACGATAGAACATGATTAGGAAGGGAGATTTTTGTCCTCCATCTCTTTTTTTCTCTGTAAGTCAGTCAACTGATTTGCTCCCTCACTGACAGCCACCATCCTGAGATAACTCGGGTTCATACAGTTGTTGCAACCTTATAAGAAAGGGTCTTAACTAACACAGTAGGAGAGAATGGGAAGAACAGAAAGCATGCTGGTTAGTTTCAGTGGAGAGAGACCATAGAAGGTAAAACTTTTGCTTTGAAGCAGTGGCTCTTCTTTTAAAAAAATAGGTAATAACTTTCCCACAGTCAGTTATCAGTTTTTGTGTAGTTTCCAATGCTTTTGTGCATATTCAAGAATAGAAATAATAGGGATTTCCTGGCGGTCTCGTGGTTAAGACTCCATGCTCCCAATGCAAGGGGCACAGTTGTTCTTTGATCAGGGAAGTGAGATCCCACATGCTTCACAAAATGAAATAAAAATAAAACAGAAATTTTTTAAAGGATAGAAATAATACATAGAAAAATATATTTTATTCATTACCTTTTGCATATATTATAGCATACATACTACTTTGCTTTTAAGATCAAAAGATATATTTTGAATATCATTAAATATTAGTGCATAAAGAGCTTCCTTGCTTTTTTACAGCTGCATAATATCACACTCATGATGTATTATAATTTATCTAACCAGTTTCCTGTTGTTGAACATTTAGTTTGTTTTTAAACTTTTGCTATCACAATGCACCAGTGACTAACTTTGTACATGTGTTGTTTTTCATTGTGTAAGTATATTTGTATGATAAGTTTATAGAAATAAAACTGTGAAGTCAAAAGTTATGTGCAATTTGATAGATACTGCCAAATTGCCTTCTAGAGGTCATACCCTCTCCAACCATGTATCAGAAATCTTGCAGCCTTGATAGATTGGTTAGATCTCCAAGTTTGCTTTTATCCTGCATCTCTACCGAGACATTAAAGAAAAATTTGCATTGTTAGGTAAACTATCTCATTTAGTGCTTTCTAATTGGTAACAGTCAAAAGTTTCTATTTGAACTATCAGTGTATTTTACTTCCTATGGCAATTCCCCCACCCCTTTTTTTGTCATGCAGCTTGCAGGATCTAAGTTCCCC